TTAGCAAACGTATTTTAAACACTTCAAAGCACTCCCAGGTTAAAAGATCAATTGAGCATTGCTTTCAATTTCCCTTGTACTATATTTTCTATTATAAAGAACTTTTGGTATAATAATGTTTTGCCAAGTTATTATCTACTAAAACAACTACATTTAACTTTCATTTATCAGTGATAACTCCTTCTGATAAATGGTTACAGAAAATATAAAACTAATGATCTTTGAATGGCTAAATACATTATCAGTCTCAAAGCAATACATTACAAATGAGAGAAATGATAAATACAAGTACTTTAGTTTGTCTATCACTAGCTGAAAGAGCCAATTCAGTGACTCGAGGCAAGAATACATCCAAATAAATGACAGGCTTCATCTCTCTGAATGGTATTGCAAAGCTGAGTCTCTTCTCTCTGTCCCAGGCCACACACTTCTTCATCATTTCATCTGCGGATACAGCTGACAAAGAAGAGTTAGCGAAAATGACATCCATTCAGAATCTCCCTAAGAACACTAAATCAGAGTGCTTTTAGACTTTTAAATTAAGCAGTTTATGTATTTTTAGAGCATTGAAAAAATAGTAAATGAACAATATCTTCATTAAAAATCTCTATAAAGACACTTTCTAACTACAGGTTCTAATTCCTAAGTAACTGAAAGTACAGTTAACATCCAATTTAAAAAATATATGCAGGGGGCTGGGAAGGTGGCTCAGTAATAGAGTGCTTGCCTTGTGTGCATAAGGCCCTGGGTTCGATTCCTCAGCACCACATAAGCAGAAAAAGCCAGAAGTGGCGCTGTGGCTCAAATGGTAGAGCACTAGCCTTGAGCTTAAGAGCTGAGGGACAGGGCTGGGAAGGTGGCTCAGTGGTAGAGCGCTTGCCTTGCAATGCTCAAGGCCCTGGGTTTGATTCCTCAGCACCATAAAAGCAAAAAGAAAAAAGCCAGAAGTGGCGCTGTGGCTCAAGTGGTAGAGCGCTAGCCTTGAGCTGAAGAGCTGAGGGACAGCACCCAGGCCCAGAGTTCAGGCCCCACGACCAGACCCAAAAAAAAAAAAAAAAAAGAGCTGAGGGACAGCACCCAGGCCCCCTGAGTTCAGGCCCCACAAGTGACCTCCCCCCCCCAAAAAAAAAAATATATATATATACATACATATATATGTATGTATATGTATATATATTCCCTCACATTCACACACACACACATGCAGGTGAGTTCTTACTAAAAGTTAATTCTCTTTTTTAAAAGAGGAAGAAGGAAGCTGGGCACCTATGGCTCACCCCTGCAACCCTAGCTACAAAAGCTGGAACAGGAAAGTTCAGGAAACTCTTATCTCCAACTAAGCACCAAAAAAGCCAAAAGTGGAGCTGTGGCCCAAGTGGTAGAGCACTAACCCTTTTAGGGACAGTACCCATGCTTTGAGTTCAAGCCCAGGACTGGCATCAAAAAAAAAGTTAATTCTCATAAGAACAACCTAAAAATACCCACATATTAAAGAATATTGAGTCTAGATGACACATTCAAGTGTCAATTTTGATTCTCTTTCAGGCTATAACATTCATTGTATATTAAATCATTCCAACTGCAGGTATATATTTCATTAAGTGAAATAGTCTCTATAATTTCACTGGAAAATAAATGTCACACATAAGCATAGACTATACTGTAATCTGCATGTACTTAAATTAAAATATAACTATTTATAGAGATTGTTATTTTTAAGAAAAAAGTTTACCTGTCACAAGATGTTTGTTTATTTGTCCTCCTAGAAATCCAAGCATGTGTACTACTCTAATTCTTATTTCTTCTAAGGACAGTGCTTCTTTCTGAAAATTTATACCAATATATACATGTGATAACTGAATGAAAAACTACAACAATGAGCAGAAAAACTATTTTACCATCTTCTCTATTATTAATGTCTCCTAATACTTAACCCAGAGACTTACAAATTTTAATTTTTACTGGATAAAGATATGCTTTGGAATAATGTCAGTATTCTGACTTGCTTATTGATATGAACTATATTCTCTTTCACTATAGACCTAATACATTTGAGTATAGGGACAAGTAGGAAAGTAGTGTCAAGATAAGAGGCCAAGGGCTGGGAAGGTGGCTCAGTGGTAGAGTGCTTGCATTGCAAGCCAGAGACCCTGGGTTCGATTCCTCAGTACCACATAAGCAAAAAGCAAAAAGCCGGAAGTGGCGCTGTGGCTCAGTGGTAGAGCGCTAGCCTTGAGCTGAAGAGCTGAGGGACAGCGCCCAGGCCTAGAGTTCAGGCCTCATGACCAGACCCAAAAAAAAAAAAAGATAAGAGGCCAAAACTATATATTTTATATTTTCATTGCTAAAAGTATACCAAAAATTATTTCTGTAGTGTACAAATACGTATGCAAAAACAACTAACATTTCAGATAAAGATTTTTTTCTTTCCATAAGCTGGTCTCTATATTATTTAATGTAAAGAAAACACAGTTTTTCTTACTGATGAAATGTTCTTTGTCCTTTTCAAATGCTTTAACACAACTTTATTAAATCCTTTCTGGGCAGCATTAGAAAGTGCTGACACTTCCCATTTATTCTTGGTCTCATCTATCAACAGCAAACAAAAGTCAGTTTTAAGCAATATTCACAATATATTGCAAAACAAAAACATCAAATATGTAATTTAGATTATAATCTAAAAATAATTTAAACATTAACTGTCCAAGACTGGGCATGGTGGCTTATACCTGTAATTCAGCTACTTGGGGGGGGGTAGAGATAGATGGATCTCCACTTGTGGTTGGCCCCAGACAAAAAAAACATGAGATATTAAGCAAGCAAAAGAGTCTGGGCTATGACTCCTGTGATAGGGTACTTTCTGGCAAGTCTGAAGCCCTGAGTTCAATCCCAGAACTGGAAAAATATATACATAACCTATCCATACATGTATATATGCATATATACATGTATAGATAGGTATATATGTGTATATATAGGTGTGTATTTACGTATGAACATGTATGTATAAATATATATGTATATATAGGTATCTGAGTATGTATATGGATAAGGTTATATACACACACTGTGTGTATATAAGGTTAGAAACACACTGTGTCCAAATATCAGAAGTAGCAAAGTACATACAGTTATACTATGTTATCACATTGCCATCTTAATTATGATACACACCCCAAATCTCCCAAAACTTACCTGATAAGCTAGCAGTTTTCAGGTATCCATCAAGAGAGGGGAGAATGTCTTTGTAGTAAGGCTGAATTACATGCTTTCGGATGTGTACTGACCATTCTTCAAGAGCACTCAATCCTACTTCGGCCAGTGGTGTATAGCTCAGGCCCAGCTTGAAAGCCATCTATATGTCAATACAAACAAGATAAACTGAAACACAGGAAATTTAAGATTTAAGGAAAACAAAAAGCAGCAATTAAATGTTATTTATAATGAATATGACCTCTACTGCTGGAACCAAGAAACTGTTTTAGGGAAGTAGTATAGCCTAGGCCACAATGAGGAAAACAAATAGTACCAGCCCGTGAGTGGTTACTTACTGCAGACTTTCTACATCCACAAGAATAAATTCTCATATCAGTCTACAAAGGAGCCCTAGAGAGGTCATCTCAGGTATTCCAAGATCCCAAACTAGAGAGTGGCAGAAGCAGAGGCTGACTCAGGTATGCTTTCTAGGTGAACACCTGATTTCACTACCAGGACAAGACCCTGATATTTCCACATTCTCTAAGAAATGAAACACTGATAAAGAGATGGATATGCTCAAAAAAATATTACTACCTTCAATGCAGGAACATAGGCTCTAAAATCAAGTTCAATGATGTTGGGTGGCAGGGACAGAACAAATGTCAAACAGGAGGCCAAAAGTTCATCTTTGTATTGCTTCATTTTAACTGATACCTTAACAGAAAGAAGATAATAATGTTGTGTACCTGAACAACATGAAAATCTGTTAAAAATAGTTATGTTCTTTATCAAATATGAAAAATGAACAAGTATACTTTATAAAACATGACTCCATATATTTACAAGTAAAGGTTAATCTCTTAAATTAAATCTCTCTGCATGGAAAAACTAAGAAATGGAGCCAGGCGCTGGTGGCTCACGCCTGTAATCCTAGCTACTCAGGAGGCTGAGATCTGAGGATCGCGGTTCAAAGCCAGCCTGGGCAGGAAAGACCATGAGACTCCTATCTCCAATAAACCACCAGAAAACCAGAAGTGGCGCTGTAGCTCAAGTGGTAGAGCGCTCGCCTTGAGCTGAAGAGCTGAGGGACAGCACTCAGGGCCAGAGTTCAAGCCCCACAACTGACAAAAAAAAAAAAAGAAAAACTAAGAAATGGACTTAATTTTGAGCTCACTCAACTGGATTATTTTAGGAGAATTAAAACACTTTTGAAACACAATCATATATTTTTTTGTTTTTGTTGGTCATGGGGCTCGAACTCAGGGGCTGGGCACTGTCCCTGAATTCTGGCTCAAGGCTAGCACTTTACCATTTTAAGCAATAGTGCCACTTGTGGTTTCTGAGTGGTTAATGGGAAATAAAGAGTCTCACAGGGACTATTCTGCCCAAGTTGGCTTCGAATAACAATCCTCACATCTCAGCCTCCTGAGTAGCTAGGATTACAGGTTTGAGCCACCAGCACTTGGCTCACAATCATTGCTAATGTTAGTTTTTCTAAAGACCTTACTCTAGGTCTTAAGCTAGGCATGATGATGCACACCTACTCAGGAGGCTGAAGCAGGAGGATCACAAACATAAAGGCAGCTTGTGCTACATAGAAAGCTAAAGGCCAAACTTACTCCAAATCTGGATTTAGTAAACCAATTTTTAAGTAATTAGGTCACTGATGATCATTACCACATTTTTCTCTATATATTCTTTGAAAACCCATGATACATGAAATTGTTTAAAAAAATTACCTCTTTACCAAATTTTGCAAATAAAGCAAAACAAGAATATTTTTCTGGGTCCTCAAAAGACTGTCTCAGATTCTTTGGGCTTACTCCCTGTGAAATAAAATAGCAAATTATGTCACTGAGCAAGAACTAAACAATCTGTATACAAATCTAACAGTTCCAACTTTACTCCAGAGGTATCAATAAATTTCACTTTATCAAAGTCTGCTGTGGAGGGGCTGGGAAGATGGCTCAGTGTTAGAACGCTTGCCTTACATGCCTGAGGCCCTGGGTTCCATTCCTCAGCACCACATAAGAAAAAAGAAAAAAGCCAGAAGTGGTTCTGTGCCTCAAGTGGTAGAGCATTAGCCTTGAGCTGAAGAGCTGAGGGACAGCGCCCAGGCCCAGAGTTCAGGCCCCAAGACCAGACCCCAAAAAAAAATTTTTTTTAAAGTCTGCTGTGGAAAGGAGACAGATTCAACTCCACAAGTGTTTCCAGTTAGAACATCAGTCAGAAACAACAGAAGAAGAGAAGGTAGATTATAGTCAAAAGCTATGGGCATGGCTAAAAGTCCATCCTCTTTCCCTACCTTATAGCAAAGTGGTACCTATGCTCCAACAAACCTGCCCACCAACCAACTACACAAGCTGGCTCCTGTTTGGCTAACTAGAGCCTCAGCCTCAGGTTATTCTCAAACCTCAAGGTACCAGGGTCACCTCTATCCTCTGAGATCCTGATTAGATGAATGTATAGAGAGCCTAAACTTCCTGAGTAATTCTAATCTTGCTGGTGCCAGAACCTCTTTGAAAAGTACTATCAGTGGTTACATAATTATGCAGATGCTTAAAAATCCAAGCAGAAAGGGCTAGTATAATAATAATGCTCTACTACTTACAAGAGTCACCTAATTGACAGTTACATAAAAATTTTTTAAATACATATAATGAATAAACCTATTGAAATTATTTTAAGAAATAAGGAGGGCCAGGCACTGATGGTTCATGCCTGTAATCCTAGCTACTCAGGAGGCTGATATCTGAAGACTGCATTTCAAAACCAGCCCAGGCAGGAAAGTCAGTGAAAGTCTTATCTCCAAATAGCAGCCAAAAGAAACCGAAATGTTAGTCTTAGCACAAGAACTCAGGAGAAGCACCCAGGCCCTGAGTTCAAGCAAAAAAAAAAAAACCACCCCAAAACCAAAAAACAAACAAACAAAATAAACAAGAAAGAAGCCAGGCACCAGTGGCTCATGCCTTTAATCCTAGCTATTGAGAAGGCTGAGATCTGAGGATCAGGGTTCAAAGCCAGCCTGGGCAGGAAACTCCAATAAACTATCAGAAAACCAGAAGTTGTACTGTGGCTCAAGTGGTAGAGCACTAACATTAAGCCAAAGAGCTGAGGGACAGCGCCCAGGCCCAAAGTTCAAGCCCCACGCCAGACAGACAGACGAAAGAAAGAAAAAGAAAGGAAGGAGGGAAAGAAGGAAGGAAGGAAAGAAAAAAAGGAAAGAAAGAGAGAAAGGAGGGCATAAGCAAGAGCAATTAGAAGGTATAAGGTTGACAAGTAAACTATAAGCATGTATTAAAATGTCAGAACATCAAAGGAGGAGGCTGCAATGCTTGATAAGAAATGTACGCATTATCCTGCCCATGTAATTGTAACCCTTCTGTACAGCATGTTCACAAAATAAAATAAAAGAAAAAGAAAAAGAAAAAGAAAATGTCAGAACAAACACCCTCACCTTGTAAAACTAATGTATTATAATTAAAAACAACTAAGTGGAGGGGGGACCAAGATGGCGACGGGGCAGTAGGGAAACGCCACAGCTCTCTCCAACCAAAAAGAGAGTTCGAGTTCCAATGCTTAATCTCCCCAAGAGACCAACAACAACAAAAAGACGAACACTCAGAGAAAAACCAGAGGTGGAAAATAACAAAAAAAGAAAGAGAGGAAAAGAAGAATTTCAGAACAGAGAAGAGCGAAGACCCCTCCCCCAACCTTTAATGGCCGCGCGGCAGTGTGCCAAGCCGCCGGCCAGCCGGCCCGGCAGGGGCTGCCGGAGCCCCAGAGACACAGGGGGCTTCTTGCAGATCACCAGGTACCTGATTGCAGAACAGCGGATAGCCAGGAACAGAGAAACCTACCAGCCAGGAGTCTCCACGAGGATCCCACCCCCACCCCTCACTCTCCACCGGAGCGGAGAGGCTCCATCCCACCAAAGCCGCCCGGCACCAGCAGCGTGACAAAGGGACCTGTCGGCAGACCACCCGATCGCGATCGCAACGACCTGGCGGGGGCCGCCCAACCCAGCCCGCAACCACCCCAACTGAACTCGGATTACAACAACAACTGACGACCTACAGGGTGAGTACCCCACAGGGGACAGTGAATCCCTCAAGGGAGACCAGAGCTGGAGGGAATCCCCAGACCCTGACCTAGACTCCCTACCCCAACACCCGGACCACAGGACTCACTAAAACCGGGAACTGTTCGAGAGCTCCACCAGCCGGTGGAGCACACTCTGCTGGCCAGGCCAGAGCAAGAGTGCCGCTGGAAAGGAGCTTAAATGCCCAAGCCAGGAACAGCGCCCCTGGGTCAAGACTACCAACAGTAGAAGAAATTTGAACTGTGTCCTCCAGGCTGCATAACCTAGGTGGTATACACATCAGCACAGGCCTAACGAGCGCGCTCCAGGCTGGGGCCAGAACCAGGCCCCGGGACCCGGCGCCTGAACAACACAACCAACTCCTCCCAACTGAAGTAAAAAGCTGAGCATACGCCTCAACAGAGGGGAGAAAACCAGGAAACAACACTCCCTGGGAAGCATGCCTGTGACAACAAAAGACCTGGAGGCTCAGGACAAGAGAAGCCCAAACCCCACCAAAACTCCACCCATATACCCTAGGCTGGGAATTGGGCAACACAGGCTGCCAGCACCTGATAGTAAGCAGGAGCTCAGGCTGATAAGGCAGCTCAGCAATAGAGTGATAGTCTTGGATGTATGAGGCCCTGGATCTGATTCCTCAGCATCACAAAAGCAAAAAGGGTCAGAAGTGGTGCTGTGGCTCAAATGGTAGGGTGCCAGCCTTGAGCTGAAGAGCTGAGGGACAGCACCCAAACCTAGAGTTCAAGCCCACAACCAGCCCAAAACAAACAAACAAAAACACATCAGGAGCCCATAGCAGACTCCAGTATTTGGGAGAGTGCATCCAGAGCATCTGATCTTCCCAAGAGCACCCGTAGGAGCAAACACAAGCAGTCTAGGCTGCTCAACCCTTCCAAAGGCGGGAATTGCCAGCAATCTACAGCAGAGAGCTGAGAATCCTAAGTAAGTCAGAATAGCAGCTGGAAATAGGCTCCCAACAGAATCCAGATCAGGCACAGACTCTCTCTACCAATACAGAATCAGCAACCAAGCAAAGACAGACACACCAAAACAAAATTGAAGAGCAGTCTCCTGAAATCCCATGCGAAAATCACAGAGAAAAATCACAAGGTTTACCACTACCCAGGACAGCAAGCTCACCTCAAAAGCCAGCAGCCACGCAGGGGAGAGCCCCAGTGGGAGCAAAGCAGAAATGGAAGACAAAAGCTACATCCAAGGGTTGCTGGAGGCAATGACTCAAGAAATAAAGCGAGAAATGGATCAGAAATTGAAAGAGCACAAGGATGAACTATCAAAAGATATACAGGATATCAAACAAAAGTTGGATGCAAAAATAGAAGCTGCACAAACCTCAGTAAGAAGTGAGATAAACGCCAAATTAGAGGTAATGCATACCTCATTGAGAGGTGAGATCAGTACTCTGAGAACCAACATTGAATCCATAAAGGGATCCATTTCCTCCATGCAAACCACAATAGAAGCCACGGTCAACAGAGTGAATGAAATGGAAGGTAGAGTGTCAGATACAGAAGACAGAATCACCAACTGGACCAAAAAGTGACAGATACGGAAAAATCACTCAAATTAAACCAAAGGGAAATTCAAGAGCAAGCAGATAATGCTAAAAAATTTAACCTTCGCATAATCGGAGTGGACGAAGGTGAGGAATTCCAGAGCAAGGGAATGCAACACCTATTTAACAAGATAGTCAATGAAAATTTTCCCCACCTCAAAAACGACCATCTTAACTACATCACAAAAGCTTATCGAACACCCAACAAGCAAGATCCCAGGAGAAACACTTCTAGACACATTATAGTAAAAATGATGGATCTGAATAATAAGGAAACAATCCTGCATGCAGCAAAAATGAAGAAGGAGCTATACTACAACGGGAAAAAAATTAGAATCACTGCAGATCTCTCCACACAAACAATGAATGCAAGAAAAGCCTGGGAAAGCACCATACGAGCCCTGAGAGCCAATAACTGCCAACCCAGACTGATATACCCGGCAAAGCTAGCATTCACATTCGATGGAGAACTGAAAACTTTTAATAGCAAAGAAAAACTAAATGAATACATAAACATTAAGCCAGCATTACAAAGAATTCTAAGAGGGGGGACACAACCTGAAGAAAGCAACCAGGAACTGGCACCTGCCCCAAACAGGCATTACTCAAAGTCTAACTGAGCAAGCACAGGAGGAAAGGAAAGAAGAAAAACTTAGGAAAACGGAATGGCAGAGACAACAATGCATCTCTCTATACTTTCTCTTAATATAAATGGGCTGAATTCGCCAATTAAAAGAAAACGAACTGAGGACTGGATCAGAAAACAAGACCCGTCCATCTGTTGCCTTCAGGAGACCTACCTCTCAGCCAAACATACAAACAAACTCAGAGTGAAGGGGTGGAAAAGGATCTACCAATCAAATGCCCCCAGTAAGAAAGCAGGTGTAGCTATCCTGATATCTGACAAAATAAACTTTTCATTAAAATCAGTACAGAAAGACAAGGACGGACACTACATATTAATAAAGGGAACAATCCAAGAGGAGGATATAACCATCATCAACTTATATGCCCCAAATATCGGTGCACCCAGATATGTCAAACAAATGCTCTCAAACTTACAGAATAAAATAGATCCCAATACGATAATACTAGGAGACTTTAACACACCACTCTCACCAAAGGACAGGTCTACCAAACAGAGGATTGGCAAAGAAGCTACCGAATTAAGTGAGGCCATACTTCAAGCGGAATTAACTGACATCTACCGAGTATTTCACCCTAAAACAACACAGTACACATTCTTCTCAGCAGCTCATGGAACTTTCTCCAAAATAGACCATATCATAGTTCATGCAAGGAACTTAAGCAAATACAAAGGGATCGACATAATCCCCTGTATCCTATCTGGCCACAGTGGAATCAAGCTAGCTCTCAATAACAAAGCATACCGCAGAAATTTCTCTAATACATGGAAACTGAACAGCACACTCCTTAACAATGCCTGGGTAACAGAAGAGATCAGAGAAGAAATAAAGCATTTCCTACAGCTCAATGAAAATGAAAACACCTCACAAAGAAACTTGTGGGACACAGCAAAAGCAGTCCTGAGGGGCAAATTTATTGCCCTCAGTGCCCACATCAAGAGAATGGAGACAGACCAAGTAAATAATCTCATGTTGCAATTAAAACAGCTAGAAAAACAAGAAAAAATGGGACCTAAAGCTACTAGACGAAGCCAGATAACCAAATTAAGAGCAGAGATTAACCAATTAGAAAATCAGAAAACCATAACCAAAAGAAACCAAACAAAAAGCTGGTTCTTTGAAAAAATAAACAAAATTGATGGCCCGTTGGCAAGATTAATTAAAAAAAGACGAGAGGAAACCCATATTAATAGGATTAGGGATGCCACCGGAAACATCACAACACATACCCAAGATATCCAAACAATTCTAACAGACTACTTTCAAAAGCTATACTCTCTAAAGGAAGAAAATCTGGCAGAAATGGATGCATTTTTAGAGAAATACAAGTTACCCAAACTGAGCAAAGAAGAACTTAACCAATTAAATAAGCCAATATCCTATAATGAGATACAGGAAGCTATCAAAAGTCTTCCAACAAAAAAAAGCCCAGGACCAGATGGATTCACAGCAGAATTCTATAAGACCTTTAAAGAAGAACTAATACCCATACTCCTCAAGCTCTTCAGGGAAACAGAGAAGGAGGGAGCTATCCCAAACTCATTCTACGAAGCCAATATCACACTCATCCCCAAACCAGGCAAAGACCCAACCAAAAAGGAGAATTACAAGCCAATTTCCTTGATGAACACAGATGCAAAGATCCTTAACAAGATTCTAGCTAACAGAATCCAGAAACACATAAAAAAAATAATACACTATGATCAGGTAGGCTTCATCCCAGAGACACAGGGATGGTTTAACATACGTAAGTCAATAAATGTAATCCAGCATATCAACAGAGCCAAGGTCAAGAATCACATGATTATCGCCACAGATGCAGAAAAGGCCTTTGATAAAATTCAACATTCATTCATGCTAAAAGCTCTGGAGAAAATAGGAATAGAAGGAACATTTCTAAAAACAATAAAAGCCATTTATGACAGACCAATAGCCAATATTATACTTAATGGGGAAAAGCTACAACCAATCCTCCTAAAATCAGGAACAAGGCAAGGATGCCCACTGTCTCCACTCCTCTTCAACATAGTCCTAGAACCCTTAGCCAGGGCAATAAGGCAAGAAAAAGACATTAAAGGGATCCGCATAGGGAAAGAAGAAGTGAAACTATCCCTTTTTGCAGACGACATGATACTATACCTCCACGATCCCAAAAACTCCATCCCCAAACTTTTAGAAATCATAAGTCACTTCGGCAAAATAGCAGGATACAAAATAAACCCACAAAAATCAGTTGCCTTCCTATACACTGATAACGTACAGGAAGAGAGGGAAATAAAGGGAGCAACCCCATTCACAATAACCTCCCAAAAAATAAAATATTTAAGAATTAACCTAACCAAAGATGTAAAAGAACTATTTAATGAGAACTATAAAAAGTTAAAGAAAGAAATTGCAGAAGACACTAGGAAATGGAAAGACCTCCCATGCTCCTGGATAGGCCGACTTAATATAGTAAAGATGGTAATACTTCCAAAACTAATATACAAATTCAATGCAATTCCTATTAAAATGCCAATGACGTACATCACTGAAATACAGAAAACAGTCCAAAAATTTATATGGAACAACAAAAGACCTAGAATAGCCAAAACAATTCTAGGGGATAAAGACAATATGGGAGGGCTATCCATGCCGAACTTCAAACTCTACTACAGAGCTATAATCACAAAGACAGCATGGTACTGGCACAAAAACAGACCCGAAGACCAATGGAACAGAAGATCCAGAAATAAATCCACAGGCCTACAGCCAGCTGATATTCGACAAAGGAGCCAAAGACATACAATGGAAGAAACACAGCCTCTTCAACCGCTGGTGCTGGGAAAACTGGGCAGCCACATGCAGAAAACTAAAAGTGGACCCCAGCCTATCACCATGCACCAACATCAACTCAAAATGGATTAAAGACCTTAACATTAAACCTGAATCTCTGAAACTACTACAGGACAGAGTAGGAGAGACACTTGAACTAATAGGTACAGGAAGGAACTTCCTGAACAGAGTCCCAGGGTCACAACAAGTTGGAGAGAGACTCGACAAATGGGACTACCTTAAAATAAAAAGCTTCTGCACAGCTAAATCTATCGCAACTAAGCTAGAAAGACAACCAACTAATTGGGAAAAAATATTTACCAGCAATATATCAGACAAGGGGTTAACATCCTGTATATACAGGGAACTCAAGAAACTAATCCCTCCCAAACCTAACAAACCAATTACTAAATGGGCAAGGGAACTAAAGAGGGACTTCTCAAATGAAGAAATAAAAATGGCAAAGAAACACATGAGGAAATGTTCATCATCCCTGGTGGTGAAGGAAATGCAAATAAAGACAACCCTGAGATACCACCTTACCCCAGTCAGAATGGCCCACATCCACAAATCAGCCAACGACAAATGCTGGAGGGGATGTGGAGAAAGAGGAACCCTATTACACTGCTGGTGGGAATGTACACTTATACAACCACTTTGGAAAGCAGTCTGGAGGGTCCTTAGAAAGCTAAAGATTGACCTCCCTTACGACCTAGTCATACCACTTCTAGGCATCTACCCTGAACAACAGGAACCAATATACAAGGACACGTGCACCTCCATGTTTATTGCAGCACTGTTCGCAATAGCTAGGATATGGAAACCTAGATGCCCCACCACAGATGAATGGATCCAAAAATTGTGGTATCTATACACAATGGAATATTATGCAGCCATTAGAAATGACAAAATAATGGCATTTGCAGGGAAATGGATGGAGCTAGAAGGAATCATGTTGAGCGAGGTAAGCCAAGAACGAAGAGACAAATGGTACATGGTCTCCCTGATAAGTGGATGCTAAATCCAAAATGTTAGGTGATACGACAAAACTAACAGGACTTAAGAAACAAAGAACTCCCGCTCATCTGGTTGAACCACTACTAAATATCCCCATGCTGCTGATCACAAATATGGTATATAACATGTGAACACTGTTATATATTACAGACTGTGGTAGACAATTTGCTCCAGGGAAGTTAGAATGAACTTGTGACTTTGAAATTATGTAATCAATCACAATCAAAAAAAAAAAAAAAAGAACCTCGGGGAAGGGAGGGAGGGAGGGGATGGTAGGGGGAAAACAATGGAGGGGGGTAACAATGTTCAAGAGGAAGTATACTCATTACCTCACTCATGTAACTGTAACCCTCTGTATAGTATCTTTACAATAAAAAAAAAAAAAAACAACTAAGTGATTTAAAATTTTTTAATTCATTTTGGGCACTAACTTGTCTACTCAGAAGCCTAAGATCTAAGGATTGAGGTTTAATGCCAGCTCAGATACAAATCTGAGACTCAATATCTCCAATTAGCCATTATAAAGATGGAATTAGAAGAATGGCTCCAATGGGAGAATACTACTTGTAAGCAGAAAGCCAAGCATGAGGCTCTGAGTCCAAGCCCCATATCATCACCAAAGAACAAACAAACAAAAAAAACTCTCAAAAGAGTATGTCTGTATTGTATGTATGTGTATATGTATATATTTGTTTTTTGTTTTGTATGTGTGTGTACATATAATGAAATTATAATCCAAAACTGTGTGTGTCATGGTCATATACTTTGAAATGCATTTTATTTGTTGATGTGGCCTTAAACAACTTAGAAAAAATTACATTAAGTGAAGTAACCCAGTTCCAAAGAAACTTAGGTCCCATGGTTTCCCTTATTTGCAATAATTAGTATACATATAGGATAATCTTATCAGATGAGCTGAGAAGCTCAAAGGCCATGTATAAATGACCATATAAGATGATGCTAAGTGAAATGAACCCCAAGATATGGACACAAGAGGTCTGTCTTTATTGTTATTGTCTTAAATGTACCATGTGATTTTATTTTTTGTTGTTTCCTTTGTATGTTCTTTCCCCTCTGGCATATCCCCGGTTGTCACTGTACTTGATTTTGGTACCCTGCATCTTGTATATACATTTGTCTAATCTGGGGAGGGGAAAGGGAATAACAAAACACTGCAACAAGGACACAGGATGACCCTTTACAACAAGGATACCCACAGGACAGTATATTGGAAATGAACTCTACAACTTCAGGTGGTGGGGAGGGGCAGGGGAGAATGAGGTAGGTGGGGGAGGAATGGGGGCAGGGATGGAAGGGATAGTGGGACAACAATAAGGGAAGGGGTAACAATGATCAAGAAGTAATGTACTCATTGCCTTACTCATGTAACTGTAACCCCTCTGTACAACAATAAACAACAATTTTACTCAAAAAAGACTTACCTCAAAGTATTTTATTTTTTTGGCATTTCTCACTGCAACAGAAAGTAACTTGTAGAAACCACTGATAAGTGGTAACCGTGTAGACTGTGAAATTAACTCATATGAAAAAGAATACACCCATGGTTCAAAATATCTTACTTGCTTCTCAGGGAGGATCTCTCTGTAAAAACAAATCAAATGTTTGAAGCAGAAATTTCTGTCCTACTCATTTTGAATTAGCTTTAAATTTATAAGAAACATTAAAAGTATGTACTACAATTTTATCCTATAACATTTTTAGGTATGCTAACAATTTTAAGAATGTATATCTTCCTTTTCGTCCTACCACACACACACACACACACACACACACACACACACACACACACACACACACACACACACACACACACACACACACACACACACACGAGGGAAAGGGAATAAGGCAATATTGGGGTTTGAACTCAGGGCTCCACATTGGCTTGTACCTACAGCCCACATTTCAAAGATCTATATGATTTTATGTTTTAAGTTTTTTATTACCTCATTTCTTAAATTCATATAAGGTGTTTCCTTTATTACAGCTAAAATTAATCAATTAAAAATTAAAATTTTATAAAATACCTGGAAAACTCCACCAGGTTAATGAAAGCTAAAAAATCTTTAGGTTTAGCGGGATGCAAGTTAGCAGCTGGATCTGAGGTAGGGATCACCCAAATACCAGCAGCTTCAGTTCCATCCTGAAAAATTAATTAAACCAAAATTATACCATTCAAACAAACATCATTCAAAAACTTTCCAACTGACTCCTCAATCTATATTAGGTATTATGAGGAAAGAAAGCAAAAGTAAGATAGAGATGAATCCTCAAGAACTGACACTTCAGTAAGAACAATGAAATTTGAAGAAACATAATTACTCCTTTAACTGAAGAAAGCAATTTCCCCCAATCTCCTGAGGATGTACTATTATTTTACATGCAAAGACACCTAGCATAAAAATGATATAAAATTATGATCAATAAAAACTTCTAACCTCTTGTTCACCAACAGTCTGTTTTTCTAATGTAAGATCCAATTTCTCCACAATCTTCAAAACTGATTTTACAAATTCATCATAGAGTAAACGGTTCAGACTTTGAAGAGATGAATTCACAAAGAGAAATGTTTCATCTACTAAAATGAAATCCTTTAAAGAAAAATGTAAAACATCAAAATCTTGTATAGAAAGTATTAATATAAATATTATAGTCGATAAGATATATGGAGAGGCATATGTATACTGAGGTATTATATCTAAACTGTAGCAGATATACTTGGAATTTTCAAGCTCCAAAACTTAAATACCTTCCAAATAATGTGATAGTATCTTTTTATTCAAACAGTATGACTCAGAGCCTAATTTCGTAACAAATACTCCACATATAATAAAAAAGAAGATCGAGGCCACCTCTTGTCCAAGCATTTACCCCCAAATATTTGTGTGTGCATACTTAAGCCCACATATGTATAACATACATATATACACATGTATGCATGTATGTGTATAAATATATGAACATACAAGTACACATATGTAAATATATATCCAGCCTCAGAATATTTCTATATTTACGAATGAAATAGCCCCCTAAATAACTAATATAAGCTTAAAATATGATATTTTTAAACATTACAAGAAAGGAAATATATAATTATATAATAATATACATAATAAATATTTAAATATATAATAAATACACTGTAGGCATCTCTGAAGCTGAGTTGGCTGTGAAACCTGGAAAAGGTTTAAGAGGCTAGAACATGGCTTCAACAGCACTTGGAACACTGGGAGCTGGCCATGGAAGGGTTGAAACAGCTCTGGAGAGGGTTAAAAGTCTAGAATGCTGCCTTCCTTCCTTAGTGCAGGAAAGACTGGAAGCTGGACCTTGGGTACTAGAGACCTTGAAGGCAGAAATAAAAAACTGACAGCTTAACCTGGGGGGTGGGGAAGGGGCTAGATAAGGTGGACTTAATATCTGTACTTTCCCTGGGCTGTGGTCTCCTGTCTTAAAAGAATAAGGGAAACAATGTCTCTCACAAACTCTGTTTTGGCTCATAAGGAAAACAAAACTGTTTTGGCTCTGATTGTAATATTAATATAGATGTTTTATTTTTTGCATGTATCCATAGTAATCTTCTCTGTGTGAACTCAAATAAATATGATTGCTTGTGGGCCCAAAGTGCCTGTGTGTCTTGGACCCCTGGTGCCCACTATCTCTCTAACTGTCTACATCTCTATTTTTTTTGGCTCCAGTATCCCGTCACTGCCCAGGTTACAGTTACCACTACATGCATATAATCTAACATTTTTCTTTAAAAGATAAGCTGTTTGAATTCTAGGGGATAAAGACAATATGGGAGGGCTATCCATGCCGAACTTCAAACTCTACTACAGAGCTATAATCACAAAGACAGCATGGTACTGGCACAAAAACAGACCCGAAGACCAATGGAACAGAATAGAAGATCCAGATATAAATCCACAGGCCTACAGCCAGCTGATATTCGACAAAGGAGCCAAAGACATACAATGGAAGAAACACAGCCTCTTCAACCGCTGGTGCTGGGAAAACTGGGCAGCCACATGCAGAAAACTAAAAGTGGACCCCAGCCTATCACCATGCACCAACATCAACTCAAAATGGATTAAAGACCTTAACATTAAACCTGAATCTCTGAAACTACTGCAGGACAGAGTAGGAGAGACACTTGAACTAATAGGCACAGGAAGGAACTTCCTGAACAGAGTCCCAGGGTCACAACAAGTTGGAGAGAGACTCGACAAATGGGACTACCTTAAAATAAAAAGCTTCTGCACAGCTAAATCTATCGCAACTAAGCTAGAAAGACAACCAACTAATTGGGAAAAAATATTTACCAGCAATATATCAGACAAGGGGTTAACATCCTGTATATACAGGGAACTCAAGAAACTAATCCCTCCCAAACCTAACAAACCAATTACTAAATGGGCAAGGGAACTAAAGAGGGACTTCTCAAATGAAGAAATAAAAATGGCAAAGAAACACATGAGGAAATGTTCATCATCCCTGGTGGTGAAGGAAATGCAAATAAAGACAACCCTGAGATACCACCTTACCCCAGTCAGAATGTCCCACATCCACAAATCAGCCAACGACAAATGCTGGAGGGGATGTGGAGAAAGAGGAACCCTATTACACTGCTGGTGGGAATGTACACTTATACAACCACTTTGGAAAGCAGTCTGGAGGGTCCTTAGAAAGCTAAAGATTGACCTCCCTTACGACCCAGTCATACCACTTCTAGGCATCTACCCTGAACAACAGGAACCAATATACAAGGACACGTGCACCTCCATGTTTATTGCAGCACTGTTCGCAATAGCTAGGATATGGAAACAACCTAGGTGCCCCACCACAGATGAATGGATCCAAAAATTGTGGTATCTATACACAATGGAATATTATGCAGCCATTAGAAATGACAAAATAATGGCATTTGCAGGGAAATGGATGGAGCTAGAAGGAATCATGTTGAGCGAGGTAAGCCAAGAACGAAGAGACAAACGGTACATGGTCTCCCTCATAAGTGGATGCTAAATCCAAAAGGTTAGGTGATACGACAAAACTAACAGGACTTAAGAAACAAAGAACTCCCGCTCATCTGGTTGAACCACTACTAAATATCCTCATGCTGCTGATCACAAATATGGTATATAACATGTGAACACTGTTATATATTACAGACTGTGGTAGACAATTTGCTCCAGGGAAGTTAGAATGAACTTGTGACTTTGAAATTATGTAATCATTTAATCACAATCAAAAAAAAAAAAAAAAAAAAAAAAAAGAACCTCGGGGAAGGGAGGGAGGGAGGGGATGGTAGGGGGAAAACAATGGAGGGGGTAACAATGTTCAAGAGGAAGTGTACTCATAACCTCACTCATGTAACTGTAACCCTCTGTATAGTAGCTTTACAATAAAAAAAAAAAAAAAAAAAAAAAAAAAAAAAAAAAAAAAAAAAAAAAAAAGATAAGCTGTTTGGGTTAGGGATGTGGTTCAAGCAGTTAAGTGCCTACAAGCAAGAGGCCCACAATTCAAACTCCTAATTCTACTGTAAGAAAAAAAAATTTTTGACAAGATAGAAATCACTTACTAAAAAACTTTTCTTTCACTATTAATACTTCATCAAAAAGTGTATTAAAATACTAGCCACCAGCCAACTAAAGATCTATCATCTAAAAATGCACTAGGAGGCACTATTCTAATATAAACAATACAATAGCTGTGTACCAATCCCTCATACGTATTAAGCCAACTAAATTTGTCCTTCAGCAAAAAACACAATTGAGGGTGTGTGGCTAAGAAGTAGAGCATGTTTTTCGAATTCATAGGCATTGGGTTCAATCCCTAACATCACAAAAAGAAAATAGCTCTTCTCTGTAGATAATACTGTTAAGATGTAGCCTAAAAGGCCTGACTTGGAAAGAATAGCACATCTGCTGCACTACTTTGCTACATAAAACTAAACTGAGGAATCAGCTACAATAAATAATTTTAAATACTCTCTATATTTGTTTCTTTTGATTCCCTCAACTCTCTTAACAAACATTGTCTTAATTTTTAATTGAGGTATGTTTTTAAACAGAACTGTGCAGGTTGGTAAAACATAATTGTGAAATACAGAAGACCCAATAACTATGGAGTTTCTTAATAAGATTGGAACTGAAGAATTTTTAATGACTTTCAAATAATAAATTTTACCATCATCTGGTCACAGCTCAAGAGATGTCTAAAAAGATCCACATAGTCCTTGTACGTTGGCACCTTCCATTTGCCAGTTCTAACCTCACCCGAGGCACGAAGGTCTTCAGATTCAGACTCAGTACCCTGGCCAGGAAGACAATTTACCAATAATGACTTGTGAGCTCACAAAAGCAGATGCACCGCATACATTCAGAATTTTCTAAAACTAAAAGAACAACTAGTAGGAGACTGTACAAAAATCAAGAAGACAGTTTTTATGAACACATAATTTTTTAAAAACAAAAAGCTGAAAAGGGAAAATTCTTCTGTGACTAAAACCAACAAGTATTTTGACACAGTATCTATCAGATTGGCTACAAATCCTTCATCTCTTTTTTATACTATTCAATCTCCCATTAATCCTGTTTACTGTAACTTCTAAACTATGCCTCTTATAATACATATACATATATTTTCTCCTAGTTAACAATAACATGCTTCAGAATGTTTTAATATCATAGAAGTGTATTATCTAACAAAATAAAGGTATGCACACTTCAAAATGTAAGACATGAGCTATGAACATGGCTCAAGTAGTAGAGCTCTGCCTAGCAATCACAAGGCCTTGAGTTGAAATCCCTAGTACTATAAAAGAAACACACACACACACACACACACACACACACACACACACACACACACACACACACACACACACACACACGAAGTCATGGGTAATAACTGAGAAAGGTCATTTTTATAACTAAAGGTCATTTTTATAAGTAAAAACCTTAGCAACATTTCTAGCTTACAGAACTAATTAATTTTTGAATTGCTAGATTCAGAACTTACCTTTTGAAAGAGCACTGGTTTAGAACATATTCTGATTAAACCCTGATGCACTAGAGAAAAGAAAAACAAAGAATGAAAAAAAGTAAAAACCATTACTCAATTCAAACAACTACCATTATCATTTTACCTATTCCAAACTTTTTTAACATCTCCAGTTTTTAAATTTTAAACTATTTTAAAATTTAAAAGCTTTACCTAGCCTGGTGTTGGTGGCTCACACCTGTAATCCTAGCTACTCAGGAAGCTGAGATCTGAGGATTGTGGTTCAAAGCCAGCCCAGGCAAGAAAGTCTATGAGACTCTTACCTCCAATTAACCACCAGAAAACCAGAAGTGGTGCTGTGGCTCAAGTGGTAGAGTGCTTCCTTGAGCTGAAGAGCTCAGGGACAGGGCCCAGGCCCAGAGTTCAAGCCCCATGGCAGACAAAAAAAATAATAAAAGCTTTACCTGGGGCTGGGAAGGTGGCTCAGTGGTAGAACGCTTGCCTTGCATACCTGAGGCCCTGGGTTCGATTCCTCAGCACCACATAAGCAAAAAGAAAAAAGCCACAAGTGGCGCTGTGGCTCAAGTGGTAGAGCGCTAGCCTTGAGCTGAAGAGCTGAGGGACAGCACCCAGGCCCAGAGTTCAGGCCCCACGACTGGACCACCAAAAAAAAAAAAGCTTTACCTGACTTATGTAACTGTAATCCCTCTGTATATCACCTTTAGATAACAACAGCAAAATAAAAATAAATAAATTTAATTTTAAAAAGATTTAAAAGCTAAGGATATGAAAAGAGAAACAAAAGATTTGGTTCACCAGAATTTTAGATGTTCCATAAAAAGCACTAAAGATAGAATTTTAAAAAATAAAAAAAATTTTTAAACTGGTAAGCAGGGCTGGGAAGGTGGCTCAGTGATAGAGTGCTTGCCTAGCATGTATGAAGCCCTGGGTTCAATTCCTCAATACCACATACACACAAAAAGCTGGAAGTGGCACTGTGGCTCAAGTGGTAGAGTGCTAGCCTTGAGCAAATGAAGCTTCAGGACAGCACCCAAGCCCTGAGTTCAAGCCCCAGGACTGGCAAAAAAAAAAAAACTGGCAAGCAGATTTTCTTTACTTATATCCACGTTAACTATTCATCACTCATTATCATAAATGAACACTCACCCACAGTACTAATGCAATTCCAGAGAACTGGTCCTTTTTCTGCTAAGGCTAGAAAAACTTTCACTATGGCTTTACAGCATAACGACTGCATTTTTGGACTATATTGTGGAAAATTATCTATCTGTGCCACCATCAGGTGTTCCAGAACTGGAGTATATACCTCAGGAACCTATCAGAAAGAGAGAAGACACTAAAAGTTAGAGGAGAAAATAAATACAGGAATAATACAAATTGTATACAAAGTAGTTACTACTGAACTAGATGCATATTAGACAAATAAAAACCTGGCTTATCTAATTCGCAAATCTTAATATTATTATGAACACTAACCCCTGAAAAAAAATCAGAGTACAAAAGTATGAATAATATTTAAAGTATAATCCTATCCTATGTAGCAATTCTTTATCTTTTAGTAAGACAGAGTAACAATTTTTTTCCCCTGCTCTGGACAACAAAAAAAAAAATCAAGTTTTTGAGGAAATGAGTGGAGACGGGATTGGTGGAAGGGTGAAGGGTGAATTATTAAAGAGGTATTACTGCTTAAGATACATTGTACATGTAAATGAATATACTGAATTGAAACCCTTTGGTATAACGTTTTAAAGATAACTTTTTTTTTTTTTTTTGGTCGGTCGTGGGGCTTGAACTCTGGGCCTGGGCACTGTCCCTCAGCTCTTCAGCTCAAGGCGAGCACACTACCACTTGAACTACAGCGCCACTTCTGGCTTTCTGGTGGTTTATTGGAGATAGGAGTCTCACGGTCTCTCCTGCCCGGACTGGCTTTGAACCGCAATCTGCAGATATCAGCCTCCTGAGTAGCTAGGATTACAGGCGTGAGCCACCAGCTCCCGGCTAAAGATAACTTTTTAAACTATCAAGTTTTATGATGATAATTCCACTGACATGAAATACTAATTTAAAGCATCATTTGACCACAATGGTGCTTACACTAAACCCATCATATGATTCCATCAAGTTACTAAAGGAAATGAGATAAAATACTTTAAACTGTTCTCAGTTTTAACTATTTCACTTACTGTGTCAAGGTAGAGCAAGACGCTTGCAATAGACTGGAGGAAAGTAGGCATCTGATAAACGTGGTCATCAGTAGTTTCTGTCTGGGTGAGAAACATCTGCTTGCAGCGCTGAATGAGCTCCACATACATGAAGTCAACATCTTTTGCATTTATAACCTTGCAAGGCTTTAGGAAAGATAAAATGAAGTCTTCACTGACCTTATCAATGTTAAAACAAAGATAACAAAGTGGAGTGCTAAGCCATGTGATTTTTAAACTAAAATCAGCAAGCTATTTACTTGCTTATTTTATTGTATATAAAATACTACTATCTTCTAAAAATGTTTATTGTAATCTATAATCACAAATGAAGAATATATCTCAAAATGCCCAGGTCAGCCTGGAATTTGTTATGTAACCCAGGCTAGCTCAAACTGTCAATCCTCTTGCCTTAGCCTCTAGAGCACTGGGATTATAGGCATGAACCACAATATGCAGCTCAGATTTAGGTCCTTTTTCTATCAACTGATGTATATTTAGCAAGTTACCTAGTCTCCTGATGTGTAAAACACAATAAAAACTCAGCTTGCATAAGAATTGTAAGGATGGGGCTGGGAAGGTGGCTCAGTGGTAGAGCGCTTGCCTTGCATGCCTGAGGCCCTGGGTTCATTCCTCAGCACCACATAAGCAAAAAGAAAAAAGCCGGAAGTGGCGCCGTGGCTTAAGTGGTAGAGCGCTAGCCTTGAGCTGAAGAGCTGAGGGACAGCGCCCAGGCCCAGAGTTCAGGCCCCACGACTGGACCAAAAAAAAAAAAAAAAAAAGAATTGTAAGGATTTGAAATGCTATGTACCAAGAGTTCTAGTATATCATGCACATTTAAAACATTCACTGTTTATCATGATGTTTAGTAAAATGACAACAGCACCACAAGAACGTCATACTATTTGCTTTTTTAAGAAAGTATTATATCCCTTTAAACACTAACTAAAATCCAAAACATAAATTAACAAGTCATACTCCCGCAAATAGTCCATATCCACGAATAGCAATGGATAACTCTTTGTTGTTTGAATCCATGTTTCTAATGATTCCATAGAACTGATCCATAAAGTACTGCAGCATACTCTTATGCACCTCTGCATCTTTTGCCACCATAGAAGAAACCTGAAATTGCACAGTATTTATTCTTGAGAAAATTTTACAACCAAAAAAAAAAAAAACAGTTATACAAATCGTTGAACTAGAATTATTTGGATACTTTTTCTTCCTATGTGTTGATACTGGGGCTTAAACTCCAGCAGGGACTTAGAGAGAGAGAGAGAGGAAAGAGAGACAGAGAGAGACAGAGAGAGAGAGAGAGAGAGAGAGAGAGAGAGAGAGAGAGAGAGTGTGTGTGTGTGTGTGTGTGTGTGTGTGTGTCTGTGTGTGTGTGTCCTGGGGCTTGAACTCAGGGCCTGGACACTGTACTTGAGCTTGTGTGGGCTTGCTTTGAACTCATATTTCAGCCTATTCAGTAGCAAGGATCACAGATATGAGGTACTGGTGCCTGCCTCAATCATTTTTTGACTCACAGCTGGTGCCCCACCATTTGAGGCACACCTCCACTTCTGGATTTTTGTTGGTTAATTGGAAATAAGAGTACTGAGGATTGGGGGGGAGGGGGGAGGCTGGGAAGGGAGGTGAAGGGTAAACAAAGGAGGAGGCTGCAATGCTTGGTAAGAAATGTATGCATTATCCTGCCCATGTAATTGTAACCCCTCTGTACAGTATGTTCTCAAATAAAATAAAATAAAATTTAAAAAAAAAAAAAAGAGTACTGAGGATTTGTCTGCCCAGACTAGCTTCAAACCACAAATCTCAGATCTCAGCCTCCAGAGTAGCAAGGATTATAGGCATGAGCCACTGAAGCCCAACTAATCTGGTATTTTTAACATGGTATTACAGTGATATTTAATTGTTGTCACTTATAAAAACCCTTTAATTCAATTTACTTAGTGTGCATCAAGTTCACAAAACAGTCTCATAAATAAGGCTACACTGTATGTGATAGGGTTTTTTTTCCTGAAGAAAGAGACTATAAATGACTAGATAATTTCAAGAGGAACTTGGTACACAGGAAAGACAGGTTGATAAAGAAAAGTTGTCCTTAAAATTTCTGTCACCCAGTAGGGTTGTCAGGCCTGGCAGCCAGTGAATTCAGAAGTCATCAGCAAAAAGAGAAGGACTTCTAATAAAAAAAAAAAGACAAGGTGTCTCAGATTAAGAGAAAAGAAAAAAAAAACAACTACATGCCTCAAAACTCAAGTCAAAGAAGGGGAAAAGTCCTTGAGAAGTCAATAGATCCCTCTGTACCAAACTAACAGGTGAAAGGCTAATGTGCAAGACCAGGGATGTTCCAAGAACATTCCTACTTTTAGCTTATATGAAGCCTGCCTGTTCTGCTCATGTAAAGAACCAATGTAGAAAATTACCAAAGATGAAGAAACAATCCACTTTCTATCATCGACCTACCAATAAATGCTCTGTAATTCTACCCAAAGCTCTAAGCTGAGCTTATGTTCTTCATGTTTCTTTATTTCCATTCTGAGAGAATGGAGTATCACATGGATTGCTTCACAATTTCCTTTAACAGAACAAATCACCAACATTCCTTTTCAGAAGTAAATAATATACTCAATTACAAGGAAAGTTTTTCATTTTGTGAATATAATGCAATTTTTAATTGTTCAAACTGCTGCTTATTTTTATTACTGTTTCCAGAAAATGGCTTTTCATGTATTTTTATCCTATTATTTTCTGCTTTTAACAGCACAGACTTGAGAATAATTATCAAACAGAATATTGGATGCTATTATTAATAGAAAAAGCACATGTATTTAACTCCCACTTTCTGCATAAAAAGCAGGAAATGTTTCTTTCCTCTACTTTAATCCTATACACAAAAATAAATCCCTTTACTTTGTGTGACTTCTTTTTGTGAGACACCTGAAATATTTTTCATGAATAGATCTAAAAGACCTGTGATATGACATGGAAACTAGCAAGTTGAGAAAAGTTTTTAGTCATCCTCTGGTAACAGATCTAGGGATAGGAATTTCTGACCCTCTTAGCAAAGGCTAATGTTAGTCTCACCTTAAAAACTACTGACTTGGGCTGGGAAGGTGGCTCAGTGGTAAAGCGCTTGCCTTGCGTGCATGAGGCCCTGGGTTCGATTCCTCAGCACCACATAAGCGAAAAAGAAAAAAGCAGTAAGTGGCGCTGTGGCTCAAGTGGTAGAGCGCTAGTCTTGAGCTGAAAAGCTGAGGGACAGCGCCCAGGCCCCCAGTGTTCGGGCCCCATGACCAGACCGCCCCCCTCAAAAAAAAAAAAAAAAAATACTGACTTGCAGTCTATTGAAAGCGTATTCTTTTCCTAATAAATTTTATTATCACTTTTACAGAAAGGAAAGAAAAAGGGGAGGAAACCAAGTATTATATGGCTCATAAATGCAGTGACATATCTTACTGACACTAACATATTAATCAAGTAAGCCAGGCACTGGTGGCTCACACGTGTAATTCTAGCTACTCGGGAGGCTGAAATCAGGATTGCGGTTCAAAATCAGCTCAGGCAGGAAAGTCTATGAGACTCTTATCTCCAACTAACCACCAAAAAACAGGAAGTAGAGCTGTGGTTCAAAGTGGCAGAGCACTAACCTTGAGCAAAAGAGCTCAGGGACAGTGCGCAGGCCCTGAGTTCAAGCCCCACAACTGACAAAAAAAAGTAGAAGTGGATCTTTGTTCATCACTATGCACTAATATCAATTCAAAGTGGATCAAAGACCTCAACATTAGAACTGAAACTTGAACTGCAAGAGAGTAGGAAAAACATTAGGACTTATAGGTAGAGGTAGAAACTTCTTGAAAAGGATCCTAGAGATGTAACAGATGAGAGAGAGATTTGACAGGTGGGACATGAAAATAAAACGTTCCTAAGGACAAAGTTACTGAACTATTAAGACAGCCAACAGACTGGGAAAAGATCTTCACCAGTAATGTATCAGGCAAAGGCCTAATATCCAATATATAAAAGAAGCTCAAGAAACTAACCTCTCTCAAATCTAATAAACCAATCAATAAATGGACAAAGGAGCTAAAGAGACTTCTCAAAAGAAGAGGTAAGAATGGCAAAAACCAAACAAACAACATAAAACACACACACACAAGGAAATGCTCATCATCCCTAGCCATAAAAGAAATGTTCATTAAAACAACTCTGAGATTCCATCCTACCCCCATTAGATTGACCAACAACAACAAATGTTGGCAGGAATGTGGGAAAAAAAAGAACCCTACTGCACTGCTGGTGGGAATGTAAACTAGTACAACCATTCTAGAAAGCAGTCTAGAGGTTCCTCAAAAAACTAAACATAGACCTTCTCTACAACCCAGCCACACCACTCTTGGGCATCTACCCTGAACAACATGAACCAAGATATGATAAAGACATTTGCACATCCATGTTCATTGCTGCACTATTCACAATAGCCAGGATATGGAAATAGCCCAGATGCCCTACAATAGATGAGTGGATCAAATAAAAAAAGTGCTTACCTACACAAAATGGAATTTTAAATAGCCATTACAAAGAATAAACTAGTGTCATTTGAAGGGAAATGGATGGACCTAGAACAAATCATGTTAAGTAAGGTAAGCCAAGCTCAGAGAGACAAATGGTACATATCCCCTCTGATATGTGGAAATTAGATCTAAAATACACTGGATATGATAAATTTTACAGGATTTCAGATACTCATACACAGTGATTCCAAGAGAGGACACTCTTAGGAAAGAGCCACAAAGGTGCAATGACTAAGTACCTCTTCATATTTATTTGTTTTGTTTTGTTATTTTTTCTTCCCATCCTCCTCCAATACCCGACCTCTTCATATTTATAGAAAATTTTTTATATATATATACATATATATATATCGAAATGAACTTCAAGATATGGAAACAAGATATCCCTCTTTTCTATTTTTTTCTTTTTTTTTAGTTTTTAGCTTTTTATTTTTTGATGATTCTGTCTTCTTTTCCTTAGGTGTGTATTAAAAGTGTACATCTTCAGAAGGGTTAGGGGGTGGGTAGAGAACTCAAAAGAAAAAGTGTGAAAAGGTACAGCATAAGAGGTCACTGGACACTGGTGAAAGTGAACTATGTAACTTGTGGTGGAGAGGGGAAAGAATTAGAGAACAATTGTATAAAAGGAAACTTACTCATTACCTGACTCAGGTAATTGTAATTCCTATGTATATCACTGCTATAACAATAAAGTAAATTTTTTTTAAATGAAGCATGTAGATCTCAATGTGCCAACGGGAAAACATCCAATAAGAAGGAAGAGGAGGAGAGGAAGGGAGAGGAGGGGGACGAGGGGGAGGCAGAGGGGAAAAGGAGGAAGAGGAGGAGACTTTATGTAAAGATATCTCTTCTGGCTCCTTCCTTCTTAAGAGGAGGGGAAAAAAAGGAAGGAAAAAAGAAAGAAGGGTTACTAAAATGCTGCATGTCTTCTCTGGGTGGTGGAATTTCAGAAGATATAAACAGTCTTCTTTGTATTACATTGTTTTGAAGTATGCTTAAGTAATATTTAAGTTCAAAACTGTATATACAATAGCCAAGTAACAATAATAAAAAAAGAAGTTGGAGAAAATCCATTACCTAAGTTCAAGGTAATATAAAGCCTAGAGTAATCGAGACAGTGAGGAAGTATGTAATGACAAAAACAAAGAAAAATGGAACAAACTAGAGCACCCAGCAAGCCCATACATGCATGTCAACTGATTTTTACAAGAATGGGAAAAGTCTTTTCAATAAATAGTACTACCTCAAACGAATGTCAGAGGAATACATCTCTAGTCCAGATACTTTTTAAGCTTGGCAAGCAGAAGCAGGAGGCTCATAAGTTTGAGGCCAGCCCAGGCAAAGTTCCTGGACTCCCTCTTAAAAAGAAAACTCAAACAAAATGGCTGGGGCTGGTAGTGTGGCCCAAGTAGTAGGACATAAGATTCAATCCCCAGTATCTCAAAAAAAGGCACAGTCAACACAATCAAGGCCATAGACATTTCTACTGTGATGACCAAATTCAAATTTTACATCCACATTGCGAAGCAAAGAATTTAATCTTTCCCCAAAAAAGGTTTAGCCTTTGCCTCATCTCCTGGGAAATAATTGCTAAGCTGTTGGAATGACATCCTTGGTCAGAGCACTTACTTTCTCTGGAAGGTGTCTCAAGTCACATAGAAATGACCTAAAAATGTGAGTTACCAGATGGAAGTGTGGTTACAGTAGAATGCTTGTGTAGAATGGAGGTTTAATCTCCAGCAAAACTAAAGAAAGATATTAGAGAGAGAAAGGGAAGGAACAATGAAAGAGAGGAAGGCAAGGGGAAGAAAAGAATCAGAGGCCGCTGAACGCTGACAGGAACAATGTGACTTAAGGTGGGGTGTCTTGAGTCACATGCTATTTGCGACTTGGAAGAGACTGCAATCAAATATATGGGCAGTCAATTAATCCATTACATCAGCATAATGAAGTACAGTAAGAATTGTGAACAGTTGAGCATCATGATAATGTTCCATATAGACTGATATAGTCATCTGTCCTGACTATTATAATGGAGAAGACAACAGGAGCACCATACCTGTCATTTTTTTTAGTCTCTATACTACATGTTTTTGCTCTGACTTTAATCTCTACTATTTATCTGTAAGTACTATAAGTGTAACCACTAGCCAGGCATCGGTGGCTCACGCCTGTAATCCTAGCTACTCAGAAGGCTGAGATCTGAGGATCGAGGTTCAAAGCCATCCCGGTCAGGAAAGTCCGTGAGACTCTTATCTCCAATAAACTGCTAGAAAACTGGAAGTGGTGCTGTGGCTCAAGTGGTAGAGTGCTTGCCTTGAGCTGAAGAGAACAGGGATAGCGCCCAAGCCCAGAGTTCAAGCCCCATGACCAACCAAAAAAAAAAAAATGCAACCACTGTGAGTTCTCTCAAGCAGATTATCAAATTGGAAGCTGGCTTTAGAAATCCCCATTTTTGGATATTCTTAGGAAAGGATCACAAGGGCTTAATAACAAGGTGCATATGATCATATAAAATGATGTTTATCGAAATGAACTCCAAGAAATGGAGTTTTTTTATTGTACCTTTTGTCATGTATGTAAGTTTATCTGATCTGGGGAGGAAAAGGGGAATCACAGAAACAGTAGGACAGAGGGTGAACCAATTCAGCAGTGATACTCACTAGACACTATGTTGGAAATGAACTTGAGGGGGAGGTGGGTCAGGAGGGGAAAAGGGGGGGAGAAAATGAGGGAGGGGGTGATACTGCTCAAAAATAAATGTACTCATTACCTAACTTACATAACTGTAACCCCTCTGTACCTCACCTTTACAATAAAATTTAAATAAAAATATAAAGCTGGGCACTGGTGACTCACGCCAGTAATTCTGGCTACTCAGGAGGCTGAGATCTGAGGATCACGGTTCAAAGCCAACCCAAGCAGGAAAGTCCATGAGATTCTTATCTTCAATAAACCATTAAGAAAACTAGAAGTGGTGCTGTGGCTCAAGTGGTAGAGCACTTGCCTTGAGCTGAAGAGCTCAGAGACAAGCACCGAGGTCCACAGTTCAAGCCACACAATCGACAATAAATTAATTAATTAATTAAAATATAAAAAAATAAATTCACACACACACACACCTTTTGTTCTGCCTGTCTTCGGGCTTGAACTCAGGGTCTGGACGCTGTCCTGAGCTTCTTCTCACTCAGGGCTAGTGCTCTACCATTTGAGCCACAGCACCATTTCTGGTTCTCTCCTACCCAGGCTGGCTTCAAACCCCAATTCTCAGATCTCAGTCTCCTAAATAGCTAGGTTTACAGGCATGACCCAACAGCACCCAGCAGAAATCCCTAATTCTGTTTTTTTGTTTTTTGGTTTTTTTTTTTTGGCGGTTGTGGGGCTTGAACTCTGGGCCTGGGTGCTTGTCCCTCAGCTCTTCAGCTCAAGGCGGGCGCTCTACCACTTGAGCTACAGTACCACTTCCGGTTTTCTAGTGGTTTATTGGAGATAGGAGTCTCACGGTCTCTCCTGCCCAGGCTGGCTTTGAACCACCATCCTCAGATCTCAGCCTCCTGAGTAGCTAGGATTACAGGCGTGAGCCACCGGCGCCCGGCAGAAATCCCTAATTCTGAAACAGGAGCCAACAAGGAAGGAGATTTTTTACCAACTTGATATAGTCTACAACTAACAAATAAATATCTAAAAAATAACTAAAAAATATCCTCAGTGAAACAGTACTCCCTAAACAGTATTTATTCATCTAGCTTTTATTAAGAATTGGAGCAGGAGCTGGAAACTAAATTCTCTGGCAACGATCTGCAAAGTACCCAGCTTGTGTAGGCATTAAGAGAAGTAAGTCAGCTGAGATACAGCTGACTGTTGTCTATGCAGGCTCCACCCTACCCAACCTCTGCTAGGAGAAACAAGTGTCAAAAGCCAGGTCTCAGAAATGGTGTGAGGACAACTCCTTCTACAGAAACCCTACTTCCCTGTGTAAATTCTGGATAATGTTTTTCTCCTACAAAGTCTAAAGTTCTACCTCGAAAGAGAAAATGTTTTTAGAGATCCAAATAGATTTGTATGAATCAGTTTTTAAAAAACCTCTAAATATTTTTTTTATTTTCCTTAACAAATGAAACCAGCCAATGAAGCAGAATACCAGTTTTTATCAGACTTATAGGAAGAGACAACCTTATTGCCAAGAATAATCTGAGAGACAAAGCCTGATCAGAAAAGGAAATAGCAGGTGAATGCCAAGAAGTTGAAAGAGACAGACGGGAGTGAGAGGGAGTCAGAGACAAAAACCATCTATTTCAGTTTTATGAGACTGGGCTAGACCTAGATAAAAGATGGCGGGCTGGGAAGGTGGCTCAGTGGTAGAGCGCTTGCCTTGCATGCATGAGGCCCTGGGTTTGATTCCTCAGCAACACATAAGCAGAAAAAAAAAGCCAGAAGTGGCATTGTGGCTCAAGTGGTAGAGCGCTAACCTTGAGCTGAAGAGCTGAGGGACAGCGCCCAGCCCCAGAGTTCAGGCTCATGACCGGACCCAAAAAAAAAAAAGATAAAAGATGGCAATGCTTTCTCTTTCTCCCTGCTGTACATCAAGCAATGAGTCTCAGACCAATATTTTCTGTACTACAGTTGCCCACAGGTTTTCATGGACAAGCTTGTGAAATTAAGTACTAATTATCCATTTTTAACAGTAGTCCGAACAAAGTATTTGCCATGAATCTCCTGTCATTCTCAGCAGAGTTAATATAGCAGACTCCTCTGATCATATAAAATAATATTTATCAAAAAGAACTCCAGGGGCTGGGAAGGAGGCTCAGTGGTAGAGCGCTTGCCTTGCATGCTGAGGCCCTGGGTTCGATTCCTCAGCACCACATAAGCAAAAAGAAAAAAGCCAGAAGTGGCACTGTGGCTCAAGTGGTAGAGCGCTAGCCTTGAGCTGAAGAGCTGAGGGACAGCACCCAGGCCCAGAGTTCAGGCCCCACGGCCGGATCCCCCCCCCCCAAAAAAAAAAGAACTCCAGAAAATGGAAACAAGAGGTTTTTCCTTTGTTCTTTTCTTTTTTCTTCTTTGTTAGTTTATCTGCCTTTGGAAGGATTGGGGGGGGGGGGGGCACAGAAAGGGAGGGGCAAAGGGTAAATAAATGCAGCAATGGTATTCACTGGACATTATGCTAAAAATGAACTACACAACTTATTATGGGGATGAGAGGGAAAATTGGAGAAAGCAGGGAAGAGGTAACACTGTCCAAAAGAAATGTACTTATTACCTGACTTATATAACTATAACTCTACTGTACATCACCTTTATAATAACAATAAAAAAGACTCACAAAAAAATTAAAATATTACTTTGTCCCAAAACAAATGAAAGAAAATATATATTAGACTCAAATTCCACATATCCTATCTGAATGAAAAATTCATAGGACAAAAGGAGCTCTCCCTGCCCCTAAGGAAATCTCTCATAAACTCATCAATCTTCTCATAGCTGCCAGCTCTCACTTAATGAAAGATAGGCTCTTACTTAGGCTGCCCACTCTCTGGCTGAAAGCAGTTCTGCCCGCCCAACTCTTCCTGAAACATTTTCCAGTTCCTGTCTGACATATCTTCATTCCATTAGACATGCTGTGATCTTGGCTCTGGATCATCATCAAGTCTGGTATACTAGCTCTCTCTGTCCATATACTATCCATAATATCAATAATATAGCTTTTCTTCCCGTAAATGCTACAAGACCTAATGGGTTGACTTAAATTTCTTTTTCAAATGTGCAGGTACAAGACTGGAATTTAATAGTTTGGTAAAGACAAAAATTATTATTTTTAAGTGACAGTTGAATTTGAAGTACCTGTTTCAGAAAGGATTCCAGGGCTGAATGTGCAGCTTTTTTCAGTTCTACATTTAGATGGCTGCACCACTTTGACAGTACTTCAAATAAAGTAACATAGTTGTCCAGAAGGCAGGTGCTAAACTGAGAGGCATGCAACGTAAATAAACGTAGGCCAGCTGCAAATAAAAAGAAACATCAAGAACTCAGAAACCTTCAGGGGTCAAACTATAGTCACAACGAAGAGGATAAATGCAGATGAACAGGGTCAATGCATTTTATTTGCATGTATGAAACTAGAACAATGAAATCTTTTCAAATTGTTTTAAAAAGAGGCAGGGGTAAAAAAGGGAAAGTGATTTGGGGATTGATGGAGTACATTTTCCTTATATGCATGTATAGAAACAAATGAAACCCTCTTGTACAAATAATTTATGACAATTCTTTTAAACTATGTTGGTACATGTTAGCACATTAGTACTAATATAGTACATTTCCCTACAATAAGGGATTTGAACACTGGTCAATGAACCCCCCCCCCCCCCAATAAGAGTCAGAAACAGTCAGGATTTATTATATCAATGCAGAATCAAACAACCTGACTCCCCAGAGGCAGAGATTGTATATTAAAAACTAACTCCCCTTAAGCCTCTTCCTGTTCACTTTTATTGACAGTTCAAACAAAAACTTAAGGTAATCTAGTAACCTACGATATTGTATCTTATTAAATACAGAATCTTACCTAAGGGCACCGCATATCTCTTCAGATCAACCTATTTTTTAAAAAGTTCACGATTAGTGTATTAAAAAAATCACAAATGTCACGTTGAAAACAAACTTTACAACTCTGTGGGGGGGGGGAGTGAAGAGGGGAAGGAAGAAGTGAGGAGGTGGGAGGAAAGGGATGGTAGGGAAAAAATAAGGAGGGGGAAACAATGCTCGATAGGAAATGGACGCACTGTCTTGCTCATGTAACTGTAACTCCTCTGTCAGTATCTTTACAATAAAAAATATATTAAGAAAATAAATAAAAAATCACAAGTGTCAAAAGAATTTGAAAATATTAATCCTACCTGAGGACGAATTGCTTTTAGGGCAAAATCAAAAATCTCTTTTGAAGTCTGAGGATCTAGTGAAATAACAGAAAAAGCTTCTGTTATAAATCCTAAGACTCAAGTCTCATCTGTCACACCTTATCAAGGACTTTTCAAGTAACAGCCTTACTTCAGATAAGCTGACAGCTGTCAACTGAGTACCCTGTCAATTCAGAATAACCTCTCCCATCATTGCACCCAGATGGAATTACTCCTGCAATTATTATTGTGGAAAAGTACAAAGAAAATCCAAAATAATGTAGATGTGATTAAATTCTCACTCATTACTTAAAATCTGTTAGATAATCTCTGGGAAACTCAGTTTTCTTATTGTAAAAGATACATTTTATACTATTTTTCCAGATAGCACTGGGGTTTGAACTCAGACCTCCTGCTCAACCACTTAAGCCACACCTCCAGCCTTTTTTGCTGTGCTTTAGTTATTTTTCAAATGGTACCTCACATTTTTGCCTAGGGCCAGTCTCAGAAGAAAATCTTCCTACCTATGCCACCCTCATAGCAGGGAATCTACATACATACCACTAAATCCAACTTGTTTTGTTAAGATAAAATCTGGATAAAGTTACCTCTCAAGTAGTTGTGCCCCAATTCGTACTTTTAGGACTATCTAGTGGATTAAATTAAATAACCCATTCAAGGCCAAACAGATCCTTCCCCCAATTCTCTCATATTCATTCAATGATCAGAATTACTAATGGGAATAAAACATGACCTTTGACCTGAGTAAAACTATGATTTAAATGGGAAAACAGAAAGGGCACACTGGACTGATTATCATATCCATATCTTCTGTATCATTCACTGAAGCTGTATAGAAGCCATGATTTATTCCTCATTGACTTCTCTGCCCTCCCAAGCAGTCACTTGCACACAGAAGAAAATGTCTTGTCCTGATGACAAGGACTAACATATCTGAAGACAGCACATAAATAGGAGCTAGAGGAAGAACATGGTCACAAAAACCTTAAGGAGGAAAAAAAAATTACTCATTTTGCCAGTGGCTCACGCCTGTAATCCTAGCTACTCAGGAGGCTGAGATCTGAGGATCGCGGTTCAAAACCAGCCTGGGCAAAAAAAGTCCATGAGACTCTTGTCTCCAATAAAAACCACTAGAAAACTGGAAGTGGCGCTGTGGCTCAAGCAGCAGAGCAATCGCCTTGAGCTGAAGAGCGCAGGGACAGTGCCCAAGCCCTGAGTTCAAGCCCACGACCAACCCAAAAAAAAAAAAAATTACTCAAAAAAAACAAACACCTACTTTGGAATTCAAAGCAAGAACAGACTTTTTGTTGTGTCATTCATGAAAGATTTAATAGATATGGTGGCATTTGAACTGAGACTGATAGAGATATTAGTTGTAAAAAGGTCATTTACATAGAAAGTAACAGTGCAAACAGCAGACACAAGGGCATCAAACACTCCTCAGAGTAAAGGGAGAACACATAGGAGGCTTGAGCTACTCATGCGATAGGCTACCATAGCCTTCGAGCTACCAACAAGGCTGTATCCCCTGAACTCCTCACCTCTCTAGTAGACCCTACACCAGCACACTCTTATTTTTCTCAATGTAAGAAATTCTACATATTAATCATTTAACAATGTGTAAGGGTACAACCCAGTGGCATTGAACACTTTCACACTGTTGTTATAGGCATCATCATCTATACACAAAAGTTTTTCATCACTCCCCACCCACTACAAAAAAAAAAAAGGATGTACCTACTACACAATTCCCCATTCCCTTCCCTGGAAAAATCTATTCTACTTTTTGCATCTATGGATTTCCTGGTACATGTAATCATGCAGTATTTGTTCTTTGGACACTGGCTTATTTCATTTGGCATAATGTCATCAATATACATGTCTACACTGTGCATTAAAATGTACTTCCTAGTTGGGCACTGGTGATTCATGCCTATAATCCTAGCTACTCAGGAGGCTGAGATCTGAGATTGTGGTTTGAAGCCAGCTTTTAAGTCTGAATAATATTCCATTGTGTGGATGTAGCAAGAACCCAACAGACTGCGAAGTAGAGTGGGGAATCAGGCCACTGAAGAATTGAAAGAAGGGCTGGGAAGGTGGCTCAGTGGTAGAGTGCTTGCCTTGTATGCATGAAGCCCTGGGTTCGATTCCTCAGCACCACATAAGCAGAAAAAAATAAAAAAAGCCGGAAGTGGCGCTGTGGCTCAAGTGGTAGAGTGCTAGCCTTGAGCTGAAGAGCTGAGGGACAGCGCCCAGGCCCAGTGTTCAGGCCCCACAACCGGACCCCAAAAAAAAAAAAAAAAAAAAGAATTGAAAGAAAAGACAAAGAAAGAAAAATCACTTAAGAGTTACTTTAGTGTTCTGCTTGATAAGAAACAATAATGAAGGGCTGACCAGACATACTATACACAAAATTACTCTTTTGAAAATCAAAGATGACTGGATATGACTCAAGACAGAGCACCAGCCAGGAGCAAAAAGATCAAGCAAAGAATGCAAAAGCCCTGAAGTCAAGCCACAGTACTACTACCAAAAACAAACAAACAAAAAACAGAAAGACTATTAGATTATCAAATGGGCACTAAGGTTCATGCATGTAATCTCAGCTACATACACGTTTAATGCAATGCCTATCAAATTAGCAGAAAAGGATTTTTATAGACATATTCTAAAATTTATGATAGAAATGTATGAATCTATAAAAATCAAAATTAGTTACAAAAGAGGAATGAGAGGATGCACCCAACTCAAGATAAAAATTTACCATGTACCTACAATCAAAACCACACTATTAGCTATGTGGCTTACACCTGTAATCCTGTCTATTCGGGAGACAGAGCTGAGGATCACAATTTGAAGCCAGCTTAGGAAGTCCATGAGATGCTTACCTCCAAGAAACTACTCAGAAAAAGCCGGGGGCTGGGAAGGTGGCTCAGTGGTAGAGTGCTTGCCTTGCATGCATGAGGCCCTGGACTTGATTCCTCAGCACCACATAAACAGAAAAAGCCAGAAGTGGCGCTGTGGCTCAAGTGGTAGAGTACTAGCTTTGAGCTGAAGAGCTGAGGAACAGTGCCCAAGCCCAGAGTTCAAGCTCCACTACCAAAAAAAAAAAAGAAGCCAGAAGTGGCACTGTAGCTCAAGTGGTATAATACTAACCTTGAACACAAAGAGGCTCAGGATCAGCACCCAGGCCCTGAGTTCAAGCACACTATGGTACTTGGAAAGAAGCATATATATATAAAATAGAGAGGAGGGAGTGGAGAAAATAAAATAGAAAACTCAGAAACAGACCCATAAAGATATGCTCAACAGACTCAAAATACAAGAGCATATCAATGAAGATTGACAGAGACATTAATAGGTAAACTAGACTTAGTAAAAACACACACAAAAAAAGATTTTGTGCATCAAAGACACCATCAGCAGAGTTTGAAAAGTCAACTTACAGGGCTGGGAAGGTGGCTCAGTGGTAGAGCACTTGCCTTGCATGCATGAGGCTCTGGGTTCGATTCCCCAGCACCACATAAGCAAAAAGAAAAAAAGTCAGGGGCTGGGAAGATGGCTCAGTGGTAGAGCGCTTGCCCTGCATGCCTGAGGCCATGGGTTCGATTCCCCAGCACCACATAAGCAAAAAGAAAAAAAGCCGGAAGTGGCGTTGTGGCTCAAGTGGTAGAGCGCTAGCCTTGAGCTGAAGAGCTGAGGGACAGCACCCAGGCCCAGAGTTCAGGCCCCACGACTGGACCCAAAAAAAAAAAAAAAAAGAAAAGAAAAGAAAAAAAAAAATCAGAAGTGGCACTGTAGCTCAAGTGGTAGAGCACTCGCCTTGAGCTGAAGAGCTGAGGGACAGCACCCAGGCCCAGAGTTCAGGCCCCATGACAAAAAAAAAAAAAGATATACTTAGAGGAAAACTCCAATGGTGTATCTCTTTTGAACAGAAAATGAAGTTTGTAACAAAGTAAATACCAAGAAGCTGAAACATGTTAGGAGGGAACAAGAGTGAGGGGCATACACAAATAGACAAAGGGTGAGCAAATACAGCAATTATATTCAATTTGCACATCATATAAGAATTTAACTACATAACTTGAGGGTAGAGATAGGGAAAGATGGGAAAGAAGAATAGGGGGGTAACATTGATGAAGATGCATTGTACTTAACAATCTGAACTGAATCCCTTTTGTACATTATTTAATCATTTTTTTAAGTTTAAAAATAAAAATATAGGGCTGGGAAGGTGGCTCAGTGGTAGAGTGCTTGCCTTGCATGCATGAGGCCCTGGGTTCGAATCCTCAGCACCACATAAGCTGAAAAAAAAAGCCAGAAGTGGCGCTGTGGCTCAAGTGGTAGAGCGCTAGCCTTGAGCTGAAGAGCTGAGGGACAGTGCCCAGGCCCAGAGTTCAGGCCCACGACCGGACCCAAAAAAAATAAAAAATAAAAATATAGGGCTGGGAATGTGGCTTAGTGGTAGAGTGCTTACCTAGCATGCATGAAGTCCTAGGTTCAATTCCTCAGTACCATATAAACAGAAAAAGCCAAAAGTGGCACTGTGGCTCAAGTAGTACAGTGCTAGCCTTGAGCAAAAGAGCTCAGGACATTGCCCAGGCCCTGAGTTCAAGTCCCAGGACTGGCAAAACATACACACACACACACACACACACATATGCATAGTGACCACTTTCTGTATATGCTACATTTTAGAACTACCCAGGAAATAAAAAGCAAGAGCTGAAAAAAATAGTATTGCATCATGTTAAAAAGCTTCTTCACATCAAAGGAAACAACAGAATGAAAAGATAATCCAAGCAGGCTGGGAAGTAGCTCAACCGTAGAGTGCTTGCCTCGCATGCATGAGGCCCTAGGTTCGATTCCTCAGCACCACATAAGCAAAAAAGAAAAAAGCCGGAAGTGGCGCTGTGGCTCAAGTGGTAGAGCGCTAGCTTTGAGCTGAATCGCTGAGGGAGAGCGCTCAGGCCCAGAGTTCAGGCCCCACGACCGGACCCAAAAAAAAAAAAAAGAAAAGAAAAGACAATCCAAGCTAGTGAAAAGAAAAACCTTTGCAAGTTATTAAATGAAGGATTAATATCAAAATATACAATGAAGCTGAGCTTCTGTAATCCTAGCTACTCAGGAGACTGAGGTCTGAGGATCACAGTTCAAAGCCAGCCTAGGCAAAAATGTCTGTGAGACTCTTATCTCCAGTTAACAACCAGAAACCAGAAGTGGTACTGTGGCTCAAGTGGTTAAAAGCTCACCTTAAGCTGAAGAGTTCAGGGACAGCGCCCACAGTTCAAGCCACATACTGACCAAAAAAAAAAACAACTTTATATGTATTTATATTTTCACTCGTATGTGCGCATGCACGCGCACATGCACGCGTGCGTGCGCGCTCACACCCACACAATGGAGCTGGGTGCTGGTGGCTCATGCCTATAATCACGAGCCTTGAGGAATAAAAAAGAAGCTCAAGGACAGTACCTAAGGTCTGAGTTCAAGCCCCAGGACCCGCACAAAAAAAAAAAAAATTTATTGTTTGGGTATTTGTGTTAGTACTGGGGATTGAACTAAAGGCCTTATGCACTCACTTTTCTCTCACACTGGCACTCTACCACTTGAACCACATCCTCAGTCTGGCTTTTTTCCTGGTTAACTGTAGATAGAATCTCAGGATTTTTCTGCTGAAGCTGGCTTCAAATGGCAAGTCTCAGATCTCAGCCTCCTGAGAAACCAATTTTAGGCATAATCCACTGGTCTCGTGTGAAAGTTCAATTGTATAATATTCTTGAAATGATAAGCCTACAGATATAGACCAATTAGAGGTAGATAGTGAAAAGTGAAGAGAAAAGGCTACAGACATAGAAGTGTAGCTCAAGAGACCTTCATGATGAATTTGCTTGATATCTTACTTATAGTGGCACATATACAAACCTGCACACATGACAGAAATATGCAAAATTAAATACATAGAAAATAACACACGCCTGTAAAACTGGTAAGGTGTGGTAAAGCTAAGTGATAACATCAATGTTATAATCCTCTGTGCTATTACACTATAGTTATAAGAGACATTATCTGAAGGAAGCATGTGAGTCTTTCTAAATTATTTCTCACAATGGTAAATTCAAAAACCAAGCAGGCAATTTCTTTTAGACTTATAATTTGAACAGAGAAAGAAAACCAAGTGAAGACCATTAATACCTTCTTCTATGGACTTAGTAAAGTTGCACAAAAGTGATGACAATCCCTTCAGACATCCAGCCACAACAGGAAGTTTGGGTTCTCGTACTGTAGATGTCATCTAAAAGCAAATTATTAGGAAGATATTGCTCAATGAAAAAAAAAAGTCTATGGCAGTAGATAGAAATCATAAAGTTTATCATACCTGAGTCTTAAGTTCACCCAGAAAAGCCCGGAACAAGTTTTCTGAATAAGTTATCATCTCACTAGGATGTACTTCACCTAATACTCCAAGGAACTCATATATTTTTTCTAAAACTGAAAAATAAATTTTAGACAAATGAAATCCTAAAACAACAAATTAGAAAAAAATGTTACATATAGAATAAGATATGTTTAATATTAAAGTAATTTTAAAATAAAACATATCCAAATACCAGTGGCTCACACATGTAATAACAGCTACTTAAGAAGGCTGAAATCTGAGGATTTCACTTTGAAGTCAGCCAAGACAGACAAATAGAAGACATTCTTTTTTTTTGGGGGGGGGGGGGGTCCGGTCGTGGGGCCTGAACACTGGGCCTGGGCGCTGTCCCTCAGCTCTTCAGCTCAAGGCTAGCGCTCTACCACTTGAGCCACAGCGCCACTTCCGGCTTTTTTCTTTTTGTTTATGTGGTGCTGAGGACTCGAACCCAGGGCCTCATACATGCAAGGCAAGCACTCTACCACTGAGCCACCTTCCTAGCCCTAGAAGACATTCTTAACTCCAACTATCTAGCAAAAAGCCAGAGAGAGATGTGGCTCAAGTGGTAGAGCACCAACCTTGAACAAAAAAAGCTAAAGAAAAGCATAAGGCTGAGTTGAAGCCCCAGTACTGGCACAAAAATTAATTAACTAAAACAAATAAAATAAAACATCTAACTGGATGCTGGAATCTTTCCTATTAGTATAAGGAAGATATTAGTGTAAAATAATCTAAAGTATAAATATAATGTAAAAGTAATCTATAAAACAATAATCTATAAATGTAATCAAAGCATAAAATAAATTATATTTCATGTATGTTTACTTTTCTGAGTTTTGGGTTTTTTAATGCCAACCCTAGGCTTGAATTTAGGTCCTAAGTACTGTCCCTGAGCTCTTTTGCTGAAGGATAGCCCTCTTAGCTCTATTTCCAGCTTTTTCAGACTAACTGGAGATAAGTCTCATGGACTTTCCTGCATAGGCTGTCAATCTATGATCCTGAGATCTCACCCTCCTGAGTAGCTAGGATTACAAGAGTAAGCTCAGTTTTCTATTTAAAGGAACGACTTTGTGAAGATTAGTATGTTTATAATCAGAAGTCTTCTTCACACATTGTTTTTATTAGTTTCCATTTTGGAATGTTTTCAGTAAAAAGGATTTATCTGTAAAACATGTAAGACCTTTTAAAGGTATCTAAGTTATTTACTAATGGTTGGTTAATGTTAACTTATTAAAGTATTTGAAAATAATATTTTAATTTATCTCACCTGTATCTGGTATTTTTGATTTCATTGCAAGTTCTCTATAGAATTTATTAAATAATTCTCCAACCTTAAAGTCATCCATGAGTCTCGAACTTCTCAGCATCTGAAATAACTAAAAGAACACAAATTGACATGTTCTTTTAAAAAATAATTATAAAGAAAAGGTTCCTTTACCTACATGTATGTGAACACAGTCTCTAGGAGTCTCAGCACTCATCTATCTATTCTCAGAACTCATGATATCTATGTACGTATCATCTATCTCAGGACTCATCCATGACTGGGAGGTTGGACTTGATGAGTGTAAGTGTTTCTTTCCCAGATATCACTAACATGACCAGAGCTTTCTAGTCATGTTAAAGCTTATTTGTTAAAACATTTGAAAATAATTTTTTAACTATCAGAATCGCAGACCAACCAGGCCCCAAAAAAATGCTAAAACAAAAATGAAAAAAAAAAGAGAAAGAGATAAGAATGAGAGTGAGGCCCAGGGAGCAGGGCAACACAACAGTCCCCATCCCACTGCTGTTTCAGGAAAAACCTCATGAGAAATGAAAGAAATTATCTTTTGGCATTCCCTCGTAGCATTAGTCTAACCAAAGGAAAGCTGAATAAAAGAGCACTAAATCTCTTGTTTTTTTCTCCATTGTTTCCCTTACAATCCAAGGTTTTTCTTTTTTTTGGGAGGGGGGTCCGGTTGTGGGACCTGAACTCTGAGCCTGGGCGCTGACCCTCAGCTCCTCAGCTCAAGGCTAGCGCTCTACCACTTGAGCCACAGCGCCACTTCCGGCTTTTTTCTTTTTGCTTATGTGGTGCTGAGGAATCGAACCCAGGGCCTCAGGCATGCAAGGCAAGAGCTCTACCACTGAGCCAACTTCCCAGCCCAGGTTTTTCTTTTACTACCCAGATAAGGACAAACACTAGCATATTTATTATCAGGTAACGGGTGGGAAATAACATTTATCAATCAAAGTAATTCTGCTCTTCCCTCTCCACACTTTTACCAAAAACAGGATTCCCAGCTCAAATGTTTTCTTCCATGAGATACATGTGTGAGGCTAAGTACATGTATTTGAAAACAGGAAATTACCTTAATAAGAAGATCTAGGGCTGGAACTTTACATTTAGCGGCTCTGTCTTTTGTATAAACACTGGTACAAATATTCTGTTTTAAAAGAAGACAAAATCATCTGTAGGATTTAAGAACTGAGACTAGCAAGAGCTAACTGTACATCCCTGATTTGACATTAAGATGTCAAATTTTAACATTAGAATATAGAAAAATACAGATTCAAAATAACTAAAAACACTGACTCAATACACTATGGTATGCCAGATCCTAGTGGTTCATGCCTATAATCCTAGCTTCTAAGGATTGTACTTCAAAGCCAAACCAACCAGGAAAGTCCTTAAGGCCTTGATCTCCAATTAAGCAACAAAGAGTCACAAGTGGTAAAGCAGATAAAGCTGAAAGACAGGGCCCAGGCCGAATTCAAGACCCACTACTCACACAGAAACAAACACACTCATCAAACACATACAAACATACCATCACACTATTGTAACAAAATATCAGTGACAATAAAAGACACCCCAGCAGATGTTTTTTACACAGATAATTTAAAGACAGATCATCTGCCAAGTACTAGTTCACACCTGTAATCCTGCTACTCAGGAGATTGAAATCTCGAGGATAGCAGTTCAAAACCAGCACCAGCAGGTAAGGTTCATAAGTCTCATATCTCAAACTAACCAACAAAAAAGCTAGGTAGTGGAACTGTGGCTCAAGTGGTAGAGCACTAGCCTTGAGCAAAAAAAGCTCAGGGGCCATGCACTGGTGGCTCACAGATGTAATCCTAGCTACTTAAATGGCTAAGATCTGAGGATCCAGATTCAAAGCCAGCATGGAGGGCTGGGAAGAATGGTAGAGTGCTTGCTTTGCATGTATGAGGCCCTGGGTTCGATTCCTCAGCACCACATAAAGCAGAAAAAGCCGGAGGTGGCACTCACTGTGGCTCAAATGGTAGAGCACTAGCCTTGAGCTGAAGAGATGAGGGACAGTGGCCAGGCCCAGAGTTCAGGCCCCACGAAAAAAAAAAAGCCAGCATGGGCAAGAAAGTCAGTGAGACTTGTCTGTAATTAACCACCAGAAAATCAGAAGTGGAGCTGTGGCTCAAAGTGATAAGAATACTAGCCTTCAGCAAAAAAGTTCAGGGACAGTGCCCAGGCCCTGAGTTAAAACCCTCATGACCTCAGAAAGAAAAGTTAAAGGATCGGGCCCGGGCTCAGAGTTCAAGTCCCATAACACACACACACACACACACACACACACACACACACACACACACACACACACACACACACACACACACACACACACACACACACACACACACACACACACACACACACACACACACACACACACACACACACGAAAGGAAAAAACAGGTTTTTCCCTACATATGTCCCACAATACTTGTTATCATATAGAAAAAAGGAAACATGCTACTCAAGAGGCTGAAGTGGGAGGACGGGCTATGTACATAAATCTGAAGGCAACCTAGGCAACATGGAAGGAAGGGAAAGAGGAAGGAGAGAAAGAGGGAAATAATTTAGAGAGGGAAACAGGGAAAAGATGAAAGAGATGGAGGGAAGGAAGAAAAGGGAGAAGGAGAAAGGAAAGAAAGGAGACAAGATGGCAGGCTAAAATAATTGAGAAGTGCTAGGGGGTTATAGCTCCACGGTAAACAAAGGCCCAGAGTTTAAGCCTAGTATTGCTGAGGAAAATTACTAAGCAAGCAAGCAACTATACATTGGCTCACACCTGTTGAGGCCAGCCCAGGCACAAAAGCTCAATACAATAGTTTATCAACCTAGCTATGCCTGCCATCACAGCTACACAGGAGGTCTGACTAAAAGAATGACATGGACAAAACCATGAAACCCTACGTGAAAAATAACTAAAGCAAAAAAAAAAAAAAAAAGAAAAATAACTAAAGCAAAAGAGGCTGAAGGTAGGGCCCAAGTGACAGGCACCTGCCTAGAAAGTACACACCCTGAATTCAAACCCAAGCTTAAAAAAAAATTTCAGAGAAAGGATTAGGGTGGTAGCTCAGTGGCAGACTGCTGGCCAACATGTATGAGGTTCTGGGATTATTTCCTAGCACCTATTCCTATTATTACTCCTGATAAGATTCTTACTAAGATAAACAAAAATTCTAAAGAAAAAAACTTTTTTCGGGGGTGCAGTCGTGGGGCCTGAACTCTGGGCCTGGACGCTGTCCCTCAGCTCTTCAGCTCAAGGCTAGTGCTCTACCACTTGAGCCACAGAGCCACTTCCGGCTTTTTTTTTTTCCGTTTTGCCTATGTGGTGCTGAGGAATCGAACCCAGGGCCTCTGGCATGCAAGGCAAGCGCTCTACCACTGAGCCATCTTCCTAGCCCTGGCTTTTTTTCTTTTTGCTTATGTGGTGCTGAGGAATCGAACCCAGGGCCTCATGCATGCAAGGCAAGCACTCTATCACTGAGCCACCTTCCCAGCCCCTAAAGAAACATTTTTAATTGCTTAAAAAGATGTATAATCAAGGCTGGGCGCCAATCGCTCACACCTGTAAATCCTAGCTACTCAGAAAGCTGAGATCTGAGAATCCTGGCTCAAAGTCAGATGGAAAAGACAAATCCAAGAGTCTCTTATCTCAAACTATCCAGAGAGGAGTTCCCGGAAGTAGAGATGTGGCTCAAACGGTAGAGCACTAGCTCTGAGCAAAAAAGCCAAGCAAGGGTGCAAGATTTGAGTTCTAAGTCCCATTACCAGCATATACACACACACACAAACACGCACGTGCGCGCGTGTGCGCATACGCACAAAAATACATTTCAAAAATTCAATTTAGGAAGTGGCGCTGTAGCTCAAGTGGTAGAGCGCTCGCCTTCAGCTGAAGAGCTGAGGGACAGCGCCCAGGCCCAGAGTTCAAGCCCCATGACCGACAAAAAAAAAAAAAAAAAAAATCAAAAATTCAATTTATTATGATAATATTAGCATTATTTATCCCATGCACAAATAGTTATCCAGACAGTTACAAAAATATCTAAGTAGTTTCTCTGACAGGGTTGCATTTCGCTAAATGTAAAACAAATACAGAGAGCTCACTTCATTTCTCACACAAACCAAAAATAAACTCCCCAATAACAGAGACACTAATAAAATTTAAAATCTAAGTTCCTTACATAAAGTAGAAGTTGATATTTGATGAAATAATGTTTGTATTCTTTTCTCCTTACCTTAATATCAAGAGAATAAGGCATGACCTTTTCGCCAATTTTCTCTAAGAAAACACATAAAAACTTTAGGGCTTCTTCTCTACAATCACGAAACTATAAGAAATAAACACAGATAATATGGGAAAGAATAAGTTTCAATCAAACATAAAGGAATATACATGATGTAAAATGAAAAAGCAAAAGATTTGCACTTACTTCATCAATGTTAAGTGATTTTCGAACAAATACAAGCAAACCAAAATCTTTGGAAAAAATTAAGGAAGTCTGTAATGCTAAAGAAAAAAGAAAAGATAAAGAAGTTAAGAGAAATGTAAAGAAGCACTTCACAAATAGCCGCTAAGATTGCATGATTTTCAAGACAGACTTGTGACAATATACTAACCTACTGAGACAAAGAAAAGGGAAAGTTCTGGATGAAGGTCCACAGGAATTCAATAAAAAAAATAATGGGACCATCCCCAAAGACTCCCAGACTCTTCATCTCTAAGGTCAAATTTTGGATATAAACTTTATATGGTGAAAAGGAAAAAAAAATCAAGGTTCCAAGTAGAATTACGGCTGCTAATAAGTTCATTGTAAAATGGTAGGATCATTCTGGAATAGCTGGGCCTATAAAAGGGAAAGAAGTTTGGCCCAAGGGGTAGTGTCATAGCCTTGTATGAAAAAACCAAGTGAGAGCAGAGGATCTGAGTTCAAGCCCCACTACTGGCACCAAAAAGAAAAAGAAAAGACAGTGAAAAGAATAGGTTAGACATCAAAACAGAAGAGCAGGAGAGATTTAAACCTCTCCTGATTTGTCACAGTGTTTGTTGCTTGACTTTGAAGATGACAAGGCCATGATCCAAGGAAAATAGGCACCTTTTTGAAGCAAGGGACATCAAAAAGAAAAGGGAACTTTATGAATAAAGAAATGGCGCCTTAGAGAAGGAAATCATTCCTGCCTAAACCTTGTTTCAGGCTTGGTGAGGTCTATGTCCAGCTTCTGACTATAGAACTTTAAGATTAGAAGTCAGTTTAAAACCAGTAAACCAAGGCCAGCATAGTGTGCATACCTATAATCCCAGTACTTGGAAAGTAAGACAAGACAATAGTGAGTTTAAGGTCAACCTGGGCTACATAGGAGACCATGTCTCAAAAAAATCAAACACAGGGGCTGGGAAGGTGGCTCAGTGGTAGAGCGCTTGCCTTGCATGCATGAGGCCCTGGGTTCAATTCCTCAGCACCACATAAGCAAAAAAAAAAAAGCCGGAAGTGACGCTGTGGCTCAAGTGGTAGAGCACCTAGCCTTGAGCTGAAGAGCTGAGGGACAGTGCCCAGGCCCCAGAGTTCAGGCCCCACTACCGGACCCTCCCCCAAAAAAAATCAAACACAAAGAAAAAAGCCACTAAGCTTCCAGTAATCATCACAGTAGTAACATCTCTATAATGTATAATCCCTAAACATATTGCATATTGACAATAAAGTTGGATCTGTTTTAGGGACAAGATACTGAACAAGAATGAATTCCAACCCTGAAACCCTAAGGACAGAGGCAATTAAATAATGTTAGGTTATTTTTGTATTTCCCCCATAAATATACCCTAGACAATACTTGGACACTTACGTACCTTTCTGTGTTTGTTTTGCTTTGTGTGAAAACTTGTAATAGAACCCAAGACCTGGCACAAGCTGGGCAAGGGATCTACCACTGCTCTACAGTGCCAGCCCTATATGGCATCTTGCTTTATAATTTTTGAAGAGTTTTAAAGTTTTGTTTACATTTCTACACTGTTCAGCACCCATCTCTTAGGAAGATCCCACTGAATTCGTCATTGTAAGAGGGTACAATCTGTACATAAAAAGGTTTACATTCTTACATGTTTAAAATGCACTCACGTTTAAATTTCCATACAATGCCGTGTTTCATGTTTTAAAAAGCTAGTCCCAAGTTGATGGCCAGCCTGGACCATAGTGAAAGAGGAGGCATCGCCACAAACGGGAAGGAAAAGGAAAAGTCTCCCTCGGGTATAGTGCACGTTAAACAAACAAAACAGCAGCACTTTCCAGTTGTAGGTCTGCAATCGTTCTCACGATCGTGACCAACAAATGCAAAGGTCTGGAAAGGTACCGGTGGTCCAGGCGAGGTCGATCAGGCAAGCCTGACCCCCCTCAGACAGCCTGAGCCCGGCCCGCCTTCAACAAGACTGGCTCAATCGAGGATCACTCTCCCTCGACCTTAGTTTGAAAATACCTTTGTTCTGAGGCTAGGGAGGAGGGCAGCATGACAAACTACTCTGGGTGCCCCTCGACAGACAGACATTCGAGGGCCAGCCAAGCCCCATTCGCGGCGCCCACGGGGCAGACCCGGGCTGTGGAGCGGCGCCCAGGCGGCTCGGGGACGGAGCCATACCCACCCTGCACCGCGGGGCTGGTACTCAGCACGCACTCCTGTCCCAGGCCGCGGACCAGCTGATAGCTGGCCACGGCCGCGGTGCCGTGGTCCGCGGCGGACAAGTAGTCCTGCAACTGCAGCAAGGACGCCCGCACGCCGCTCCTGGAGTCCGCCATGACGCCGCGCTCCGGCTTCCGCGCACGCGCGGTGGCTCCCGATGCCGCGGAGTGCCCCAGGGCGGGGCGGCGGGCGTGGGAACTTCCGCGAGGCGCTTCTGGAAGGCTGGCCCGAGGGGAGCCCACGGTGCTACCGAGTCGACGTTCTAGTTCATCAGTGCGAAGCACGTAAGGCGCGGACGCTGTACACAGAGAAACCCAAAGAGGAAACCAACGGCTGGACCCGAGGCATTAGGGAGGAAACTAGATGATGGCCTTCATCAAATGCCCGAGGCCTAGTGCTTCAGTCAAGAACAGGTTGTTTGATACAAAGTGAGATTTTCACTTGAAATGTCGGTAGGGGTTACTAATAATACCGTTTGACTACTAATAGTAATGTCGCTTAATTAGGTACTGAATGCTGGCCAGGCAAAGTCAAAGGGAGGCGCTCCCAAGATTTCCCGCGAAAACTCCTTCCGCAGGAGATCAGACCAACTGAACTGAGGGGAGGGCAGAGCGAAGCCTGCCTCTGCTTTTCGACGCAGGCTGTCCATTCCCCCCTGCGGATGCTCAGTGGTACCTTCCGGGGGCGGAACCTCGCGCAAGCGCCTCTGTGATTGGAGAGATGCCGCCGGGGGCGGTGACGACCGTGCAGCCGGCGGGAACCTTCCTCCCTGTCCGCGCGCTTTCCGGGAGACGGTCCGGCCGGGTAGCCCCGTAGTCCCGTAGCCCCTGAACTTGCCGGAGTAAGGCAGCCTTGCTCCAGTAGCTGTACTTCGGCAGCCCAGCGGAAGCGTGCGTGTCGTAGGGCTGGGAGGGCGAGCGCCGCTCGGACCTATCCTCGCGCAGACAGCCCGCCATCATGTCGTCCCCGGCGTCAACTCCGAGCCGCCGCAGCAGCCGGCGCGGGCGAACTACCCCTACCCAGACGCGTGAGTCTGCTTTCCCTCCCCATCCCCCTTTCCCGGAGGGGGGGTCTCCCCACTACTCCCCTCTGTTCCCGCCGCTTCCTCTCCTGGGTGCCTTGGGCTGCTGAGGTTCCCCGGCCCCCTCCCCGGGTGTGGGTGACCCGCGTGCGCGCCTGAGCGGACGCCCCAGAGTTCAGTCCCCCCCCCTTACTTTGGGTGCTTAAACATGCCCACGCCCTTTTGCCTCCAGTGTTAAAGTGTGTAACTTTCTCACTTTTGGATCCAAGCGCGAAGTGAGGAAGCCAGGTCCTCCCCATCTCTGAGACGCAGAGGCGAAGATTCCACTTCCACGGGAGAGTTGCAGCCCATGCCCACTTCACCAGGAGCGGACTTGCAGAGCCCTGCCGCTCACGATGCCTTGTTTTCCAGTCCTCCTCAGATGCATTCTTCAGGTGAGCGTCTAAAGATGTAGATTTACTGTAGATGGTAGAGGTAATATACGTCTGGTCAGATTTGCAGGGTTGTTGACAGTAGTTGACGTAATACCCAAGCAGTTCTAATGTTCAAAAACTAACTGATACACAGTGTCTTGTGAGCACAGAAAGCATATATTGTTGTAGTTTCCTTAATAGAATACTTAAGAATCTTATCTGTCAAGTGTGGTGTTGAGATGACAAATCAGACAGCATATATAGGACAGTTTAGAGTTTATGTGCTACCAAGATTTCGATGTCAACTTTCACGTCTTGTTTTTATAGCTATTCCTCTGGATTTTGATATTAGCTCACCACTGATATATGGAACTCCCAGCTCTCGGGTGGAGGGAACCCCCAGAAGTGGGGTTAGGGGCACACCTGTGAGGCAGAGGCCTGACCTGGGTTCTGCACGGAAGGGTCTACAGGTGGATGTACAGTCTGATGGGGTGAGTATGAGCACAGGCCTCTAATAGCTTCCTTTTTAAAACATAAAATGGGCTGGCTGTACGGGTGACACATGGGGGTATTTTCTACACAGGAGCTCATTATGCACTTAGAGGGACAGGTGACCACCTTTCCTAATAAATCCAACCTCTCCATAGCCTCCTTCAAAACATGCCATTCCAGAACTGTTTTAAGAATTCAGGAAGCTGGGTGCTGATGAAGCTGTTAATCCTAATTATACTCGGGAAGCTGAGTTCAAGCTTTAGTACCAACATACCTGCACATAATATATGTGTGTGTGTATGTACATATGTATACACTGGGTGCTAGTGGCTCACACCTGTAATCCTAGCTACTTAGGAGGCTGAGATCTGAGGCTCCTGATTCAAAACCAGCCTGGGCAGAAAAGTCTGTGAGCCTTCAGTAATAAACTACTCAGGAAACAACAGAAGGGGCACTAATGATTCAAGTGGTAGAGCACTAGCCTTAAGCAAAAGAAGCTCACGGGCAGTGCCCAAGCCCTGAGTTCAAGGCCCAGGGCAGACAAAAAAATATATGTATATATAAAATACATAATTCCTTTAATTCCATGGTTCGATCATTTTCTTTTGTAGGCAGCAGCAGAAGATGTAGTAGCAAGTGAACAGTCTCTGGGACAAAAACTTGTCATCTGGGGGACAGATGTAAATGTGGCAACATGCAAAGAAAATTTTCAAGTAAGCTGTGTTAAGCGTTATTAATTGTTTTAAGGCCTTGAAAAGCTGTGTGTAAATAGCTATCATCCACCCATTAAGCTTAATATGTTTTTCTCTCCACATCAAGAGATTTCTTCAGCGTTTTATTGATCCTCTGGCTAAAGAAGAAGAAAATGTTGGCATAGATGTCACTGAACCTTTGTACATGCAACGACTTGCAGAGGTAATCAAATGTTACAACATAAATTAAAGGTTTATACTATATAACAACAAAATTAGCAAAATATGACTTTCATTTTATCTTACAGATTAATGTTATTGGGGAGCCATTTTTAAATGTAAATTGTGAACACATAAAGTCTTTTGACAAAAGTTTGTATAGACAGCTCATCTTCTACCCACAGGTAAGAATTTGGCTTTGACCTGGTGAATTACAGTAACTTGCTATAAGAAATGTTCTAGATAACAGAATTTCTTTGATAACAGTATGCCAAATGCTTTTTATTTGCCTCTTTAAAAATGACTCCCCCCCACATTTTAGTGTTTCTCAGAACAGCAAGTATATGCTGTCTTTAAGATGTCACAGTTTAGTTGGCAGTATTTCTGAAAATGATAAGACTCTTAAAAAGACAATTTCTCAGATTTTGTGGAGTAAATTTTATCTTTTTTTGGGGGGGGGGGGGTCCGGTCGTGGGACCTGAACTCTGGGCCTGGGCACTGTCCCTCAGCTCTTCAGCTCAAGGCTAGCGCTCTACCACTTGAGCCACAGCACCACTTCCAGCTTTTTCTTTTTGCTTATGTGGTGCTGAGGAATTGAACCCAGGGCCTCTGGCATGCAAGGCAAGCACTTTACCACTGAGCCACCATCCCAGCCCCGGAGTAAATTTTATCTTGAGGGACAATACTTCATACTTAGTACATTTTTATTATGTTTATTGCAATTATTATTACATTAGTACTTTTTTTTTTTTTTAGCAAAGTATGTTAGGCATTACTATAGTCTTTATTTTGGAACAAAGAGCATATTTTATTAATCAAATGTAGGTATAGACTGTGACAAGCAGACTTGAATTTTGATTCTTTTCTGTTTAGTAGTCATATATAACCTCAGCCAAGTTCCCAAAAGCTGTTTCTTCAACATACTGAGAGGACCATATTAAATTTGGATGGAATGAAGTTTGATCATCTATCTTAGTATCATTTTATGGAGAAAGAATTAAGATATGAAAGTATGGGCTTAAAATTCTTTTCCTGGTATGGCTCACACCTGTAATCCTAGATACTCAGGAGGCTGAGATATTAAGGATCACAATTTGAAACCAGCCCAGGCAGGAAAGTCGTTGAGATTTTTTTTTTTGGGTCCAGTTGTGGGGCCTGAACTCTGGGCCTGGGCACTGTCCCTCAGCTCTTCAGCTCAAGGCTAGCACTCTACCACTTGAGCCACAGAACCACTTCCGGCTTTTTTCTTTTTGCTTATGTGGTGCTGAGGAATTGAACCCAGGGCCTCATGCATGCAAAGCAAGCGCTCTACCACTGAGCCACCTTCCCAGCCCCTCAGTGAGATTCTTATCTCCAATTAACCACCAGAAAATTGGAAGTAGTACTGTGGTTCAAAGCGATTAGAGTGCTAGCAAAAGCTCAGGAACAGTGCCCAAGCCCCACAACCAACCAACCAAACCCCCCCCCCCCCAAAAAAAAAAATCCTTTTCTTGGATATTCCCAGATGAAAAGTGTGATATATACCTGTATATCCAGAAGGCGCTTTCATGTACATCACTACATTTAACCTAAAACAAGGCTTCAAAATGGCATATGTGCCAGAAATAGGGTGCTGCTTTGGTGTTGTGACTTGTTCTTTTTTTTTTTTCTTTTATTCTTTGTTAATATAAACTGTTATTCCTTCACTCCATTACAGGATTAGAGGCATAACAGCATCTTTATGTTTGTTTTATAGGAAGTTATCCCAACCTTTGACATGGCTGTCAATGAAATCTTCTTTGACCGTTACCCTGACTCCATCTTAGAACATCAGATTCAAGTAAGACCATTCAACGCATTAAAGACGAAGAATATGAGAAACCTGAATCCAGAAGGTAATGTATTTAGTAATGTGAGAATATTTCACATGAAAATACACAAAGCTTTATGCTATAAAGGAACTTGAAAAGACGGATGATGATAATGAGGGATTATAAATTTACAAAATAGTACAGATTCATTTCTCCTATACACTTTTGTGAAAGCATTATACTTTTCTCTAACAAAACTAAATATATGAGCTGGGCATAATAGTATGTGTATAATCCAGCTAGTTGTGAAATACAGACCTGGTAGTCAATAACAGCCTAGGCAAAAGTATAAGACCCTATCTCAGAAACAAAAATAGACTGGAATATAGCTTAAGAGGTAGAATGCTTTACCTTATATGAGACAATGTGACTATTAACAGATCTCTACCTTAAAATAAACTTACTCAAATGTAATCTGTAGTCCTTAAG